GTTGAAAGAGCTCTGGCACAAGGGACTGATCACACCAAAGACCCGTTGCTGGGCCATTGGCATGGATGGCTGGCGGTCCCTGCAGCAAATCCCCCAGCTCAAGTGGTGCCTTATAGCCAAGGGCACGCCGCTCTACGACGAAACGGAGCTATCCTCCAAGATACTCGACATACTGATCAAGTGCACCAGCTTCTTCCCCAGTCGCACCCAGAATGGAGTGGCTGTGCTCATTCCAGGACCAAAGCTGTCGCGAAAGCTCTCAGAGTTCATTTGCCTACCTCATGTGGTCCAAGTTTGTCTCACCCACGACCCCGGATTGCTGGAGCGCGTGGCCACCCTGCTGTGCCAGATAATGGAGGACAATCCCGAGATGCCCAAGGTATATCTGACCGGAGTGTTTTACTTTATGCTCATGTATACGGGCAGCAACATTCTGCCCATCACGAGATTCCTCAAGATGACACACATGAAGCAGGGATTCCGCAGCGAGGAGGTAATCGCAATCTATTTTCCATACCTTCGGGCGAATCAAATCAAATAAAATCTTCATTTGTAGACTTCGCAGTCGGGAATCATGCACCGCAGCATCCTGGGGCAGCTTCTGCCTGAAGCTATGGTCTGTTTCCTGGAGAATTACAGCGCCGAAAAGTTTGCGGAAATCTTCCTCGGGGAGTTCGATACGCCCGAGGTGATCTGGAGTTCAGAGATGCGCCGACTGCTCATTGAGAAGATTGCAGCCCACATTGCCGATTTTACGCCACGTCTGCGGGGTCACACGATGGCCAGATATCCCTACCTGGCCATACCAGTCATCAGCTATCCGCAGCTCGAGAACGAGCTCTTCTGCCACATCTACTATTTGCGGCACCTGTGCGACACCCAGAAGTTCCCCAATTGGGCCATCACGGACCCAGTGCAGCTGCTGAAGCACACTCTCGACGCCTGGCGCAAGGAAGTGGAGAAGAAGCCTCCTCAGATGACAATCCAGCAGGCATACCAGGATCTTGGCATTGACCTCACCAAGACTGAAAAGCCAGACGAGAGCATGATACGAAAGAGCTACTACAAGCTGGCCCAGATGTACCATCCGGACAAGAACCCAAATGGCCGCGAGATATTCGAGAAAGTCAATCAAGTAAGGAGCTGAGGGAATCTAAATGAGATATTCATCCTAATTGCTTTGCATCCATCACAGGCCTATGAATTCCTTTGCTCTAGAAACGTGTGGAGCTCGGGCGGACCGGATCCCAATAATATTGTGCTGATCCTGCGCACACAAAGCATTCTCTTCGAACGTTATCCGGATGGTGAGTGTCCCAAGCTCCCATTGCTCAAGGGTCTCATCTCATCTGAATATCTATTTCAGTTCTGCGGCCGTACAAGTATGCTGGCTATCCGCAGCTCATAAAGACAATCCGATTGGAGACGCGCGACGATGAGCTCTTCTCCAAGGAGGCCCAACTGCTGACAGCCGCCTCCGAGCTGTGCTTCCACACGGTCCACTGCTCCGCCCTTAATGCCGAAGAGCTGCGGCGGGAGGAGGGCATTGAGGCTCTGCTGGAAGCCTACACGCGCTGCGTGTCAATTCTGGGAGTCGACTCCAAGCCGGAATCGTTGCACTATCAGGTCATATCGAATGTGACGCGCTGCTTCGAGGTGGCCTGCAACTTTGAGAAGTGCAAACAGAAGATCATCCAGCTGCCGCAGCTGCTGTCCGACGTGTGCCGCGTGGTGTACTTTAAGCACACGCTGTCAGTGAGTCTGGTGACCAGCCTGGCGGCCAACAACTACGACCTCCAGTGCAATCTGTCGCGGAACGGCGTGCTCTGGTCGCTGCTGCTCTTCATCTTCGAGTATGACTACACGTTGGACGAGAGTGGCGTGGAGGTGAGCGACAAGTCCAATCAGCAGCAGTTGGCCAACAATCTGGCCAAGATGGCTGTCCTGGGATGCATTTCCCTGGCCGGCTACAGCATGGAGCTGCGCCAGAAGCCGATCACAGGCAGCGAGTCAAACTCGCCGGCAGCCAAGCCCCCGCCAGCCATCAAGCCCAAACCAGTTGGTGGCGCCGGTGCCACCAACTCGGCCTACACCCAGAACGCGCAGAACCCGCTACAAAGCAAGCAGCTGGCTATCACAAGCGGCAAGGAGAAGGAGCCGGACAGCTCTTCCGGCAGCAGCGACACCTCCAGTTCCACGCCCACCGACAGCGAGCAGCAGAACCCGGCCAAGAGCAGCACCAGTGCCATCCAGCAGAAGTACATCGTGGCGGGGGAGGCCAAGAATTCATTGGTTAAGCAGGTCCTGGACCGCCTTCTCACCCGCTATATTGCCAGCCAGCTTGCCACTGCTCGAGACAGTGACGTGCTCAAACTGCTCACGGCGAACACAAGGAATCCCTACCTCATCTGGGACAACGGTACCCGAGCTCAGCTCAAAGACTTCCTCGAGCAGCAGCGCACTTCCTCCGTCCGAGAGACCCATGAGGACATAGCCCAGGTCTACGAACTCGTTTCCAGCTTCGAGTTCGATGCCCACAAGTGAGTTCCACCACCAGGTGGAGGAAAGAATGATCCTTTTAATCATACTCCATTTTACTCGTTCTTTAGGGAGGAACTGCAGATTGGCGGAATATTCATACGCATCTACAACGACATGCCCACCCACCCGATTGCGCAGCCCAAGCTGTTCATAATGGATCTGCTTGAGTACTTAAAACACGCGTACCAGTTTCTGCAATACAAGAAGAATCCAACCGCCGCGGCAGCCACTGCTGTTGCCGCACCCAAAATGGGCAGCGACGGCATCCTGACGCCCACCCTGGCGGCTAATCATCCGCAGCTGCAGCAGCAGCAGGCGACGGCCAAGCCGGGCACCACCTTTGACGATGTTCTCAATGCTTACAATCGGTCCAAGAGCCGAAAGAAGCTCGAGACGGATGCCCAGACGGAGCAGAAGCTGGCTCTGCAGCAGACCAAATATGACTTTGCCAGCGATGGCAAACTGGAGATGCACATAACAATGGTGCTCAGGGCACTGATAGCAGTAATCAAGGCGAATGCCGAGGTGGAGATCCAGTGCATTGGTAATTTCGACATGATCTTCGGCTTCCTGGCCAACAACATATTTCCCGATGTAAGAGCAGCGCTTGGATATGCCTTAAGCAGATATAAAATATTTTTATTACCTTACAGAGCTCAACGGTTAAGTCGGTCGCCCTCGAGGTGGTCGCCTTGGTCTCACGTAACAAGGAGTGCGTTTCAGAAGTAGCCTCCTGCGAGATTCTGGGCAACTATCTGGTGGCCCTCAAGGACCCAGAGCTGCGTGCCAGCCAAGTGAAGGTGCTGGAAACACTCTCGGGTCTGATGAATGTACAGGAGATGATCAAGGAGGCCCAGGCCAAGGGCGCAGCCATATATCTCCTGGATATGTTCTGCAACTCGCGAAATCCGCAAATCCGGGAGATGTGCGCCGAGATTCTGGCCAAGATGACAGCCGATCGTTTGAGTGGTCCGAAAGTACGCATCACCATATCGAAATTCCTCCCCACATTGTTCATCGATGCAATGGTGGAGTCGCCGGCCACATCCGTGCAGCTCTTCGAGTCCATACACGAGCATCCTGAGCTCATTTGGAATGACAATACGCGATCGAATGTGTGCGATGCGGTCTTGGAGACCTGCGACAGGTAAGTGGCAGTGGAAAGTTGCTGCATTGGAGCTCTCCTGATTTCCCCTCGTGCTTGCAGATTTTACCAGCTGCAGAAAGCGAATCCTCGGCATGTGTGGAAGGACCCTGAAATACTTAAGGACATCGTATCCAATGAAATTGTTGTGGCTGGCGTTTACCTGCGTCTGTTTGTCAGCACTCCCGCTTGGACGCTGCGCAAGCCGAAGCAGTTCCTGTCCGATCTCCTCGACTTTGTTGTCGAGCAGATAAGCAAGAGCTCCTCCGAACAAGATGTCCTCGATCTGTCCACCACCGCGCTCGTGGAGCTGCTGCGCTCGCAGCCGAATCTGGCAGACGACATACCAGTGCTGGGCCACATACCAAAGCTGTTCAATCTACTCTCGGTGCAGCCAAAGAACACGCTATCAGTATTACATCAGCTCTCGCTGTCTGAGGTCAGTTCGGGGATGCGAATTATGATACAATCCAAGCACCTTACCTGATCACCCATATCTTTTGCAGTTTTGTGTGAGTGCCATCTCGCAGACAGAGTGCGTGGCGCCGTTGAAGAAGTGCATGGAACACAATCGGGATTGCATTGAGAAGGCCTGCGAGGCGCTGAGTCGGCTTTTCAAGCACCAGCACGTGAGTATTTAAGACACCATTAATCATTCCATAAGTTGCAAATAAACATTCACTGATTGTATCCCCAGGACTCATTGATCAGCCAGTCCCTGGAGGTGGGACTCATACCGTTTCTGCTCGGTCTGCTGGACAGTCGGCTGGAATTCGTTGACAATCCATCTGCGGTTAAAGCACAAATCGTTGCGGCCCTCAAAGGGATGACGCACAATCTCAATTATGGCGACCGGGTCACGCAAATCCTACTCAAGCATCCTGTCTGGGCAGAGTTCAAGGATCAGCGCCACGATCTTTTCATTGCCGACACAAACATACACGGCTATCTGACGGGTAAGTGAAGTTTCTCCAGAGAAGAATATCAGGCCTTGAGTGGATTTCTATTCCAGGCATCAATCCAACGGCTGGCTACCTGACGGCAGGACCTGCGCAAAGCGTGGAAGTGCTCACATCGCCGCCGCCCATCGATCGCGATGATCCTTCGGCTCGTCCTGCCATAGACTAGCGAGTTCTTTGCCTGTTTTTGCTTAGCACTGCTTTCGGTTGGCAACTGGACACGGAGGACCCCCATTATTGTATTAAACTTTGAATATTTTTTTACACACGCAGCAAATCGCGTCCTGGCTTGTCCCCAGCCAACATATTAACAAACTGTAACAAAGTTTAATTTTTTTATATTTATAAAATCTGTATAAATAATTAGAGACTAGTTTATATACATATATACACAAACACCCAACCTAACTAGAGCATGCATAAAGTGATTATATATATTATGGAATGAAGCATTAAAGATTCATTAAAAATGAAAGATGCCCAAACTGTTTGATTTGTTACTCTCCAAGAAAAATACCTATTTACACTCGTTTTAAAATCATTCTTAACTTGTATCAAATTAATATACCCTTTTCCTATTTAATAGTAAGGGTACTCTAATCGCTACCCTACCCTATCAGTTATACCATGGTTCAGGTTCATTCGAACGAACAGTGTTCATTCTGGTCAACAAAAAACGTAAACAATGTCGCTTGTGGCAGATTATAGCGATTCCTCAGAGTCCGACGACGATAGCAGCAGCAAAGAATCCGAAACCGAAGAGATACATGGGTAAGCACATTCGATGATCCCATCATGATGAAAATAAGTAACCAAAACCTCGTACACAGGCCGCCGACAACCGAAAAGACGACACCAAAGCTGCCGAGCGCGAACCAGGCGCTGGGCAACGCAGGAGGGAAGAAGACGGGCGAGGTGTTCTCCAATCCATTTCTAGAGGCAGAGCTGCACAAGACAGCGTCCCTGGAGCGGCATGTTAAAATGGTCAACAACGACACCCATTTGCAGCTGAAAAATGGACGCAAGATTTGCTGGAACTTTAGGAAAGGACGATGTCGTTTTGGAACCAGCTGCCAATACGCTCATGACTCAGATTTGGCGATGACCGAATCGACCGAAGCCCCTAAAAATAGTTTTGAGCCGCCAGTCCAAACCGTGCAGACGGTTAAGGATCCTGGAAATTCCAACACTCGCAAGCGTCCCGGCCTGGGCGATGGCTTAGAGCCAGGAAAACGGGTTATGAAGTCGTACCAGCAGCAACATCCATCCGCCCGTCGTTAAACTAGCCCAGCATCTGTGATCTGCAGCAAGCAAGTGTCTCCTACGGGACCATAGCTGTTCGTCAATACATTTACCATTCGGAGGCCGTCGTCCTGGCTGTCTATGTCTCCAATGCCATCGTAGCTGTCGCCGCAGTCTGTACTCTCTGGTAGCTCCAGTGACAATCTCAGCGTACACACTGAACTCCAATAGGCGCCTAGCATTGGTTCAATCTGCTGCCGGGTAGACTGCTCACTATCACTGTTGCCATCCTCCTCCATGACGATGTCGTCATCGTCAGAACAATCTAAAAGTAGAAAAAACATAGTAAATAGAGTTATGTAAATAAATCGTCCTATAAACTAAATTCTACCTGCATCCTGACCAGAGAACGATATGTTGCCGATGACAAAAGCCACGCCCCTCACAGCTAACTTCCTCACTCTGCACGCAACCTCCGTCAGCAGAGAGTTCCTCATCATTCGCATATCGCTCCCGCGATGATCAACAAAGCAGGCGGCCAGGGAGTCGACCAAAACGACTTTTGTTTGTAGTGCAGTCTGGACGTCGTCGGTCATTTGCTGATCGAGGGCTTTTAGCACGTCAATCAGCTCCTCTGGTGTGGGGACATCGACCACCTGAATGCGCTCCATTGCCTTCACACTTGTCTCCTGATCAACTTTACGCTCCAGCAGCATGTCTTGTATCCTTTCGGTGGAGAAGTCTTGCTTGGTATCGATGAAAAGCACTTGCCGCTTGTGTTTCCATACAAAATTTAGAGCCAAGGTGTACAGTAGGTGGGTCTTTCCCACACCAGTCTGGCCACACAACTCCCAGACTCTGCCTCGCCTGAACGGCTGTGCAATGGAGTCCAAGAGATTGTCCAATCTGAAACAGGTGCAGGTCAATCAGTAAATACAATAACTCTTTTAAAGCTGTCCCCGCCCTTGATCCTTACTCTTCTATGCCCGTTCCGAAGTCCCACTCGTCAACAGTTTCCAAAAATGTATCCGAAACCCATGCCTGCTGCGCCAGCTGCTTCTTTAGCTCAAGTACTGACTCCAGTTTGATGGCCAGCAGCTTGTGCAGCTTCTGGTCCTTCGCATTGTAGAAGTCGAGCTCAGTCTCGATATTGTTTTTGGTCAGTAAATTTAACTGATACTCGGATAATTGTTTGCCGGTGGAAGTTTGCAAGATCTTTTTTCTCAGATCCATTTCAATGTAGTTCAGCGGACGCGGTGATGTCGGTATTTTTTGTGCGCTAAATGGATTTGGCGGCATCCCTATATTTTGAAAAGTACTTTAGTACACCCACTAACCATACAGTATATAGATGTGCCAGTTCATACAACGAAAGTGGCGCCGCTAAGGTTTCAGCGAATGGTCCCAGGCCTTCGGCTCATGACGTGCCATGTATTCTCACATACTGTGCTTGTATGGGTTCTAAAATAAATAAAATATATAAAAATAAAAGATGTTAAATGCTTGTTTGACCGACTTTGCAACTCTGTCAATAAATTTATATACTGTAAATAAATTTATTTAATGGTGTCGATACTTTAGGGAGATCAACAAAATTTTAAAATTTAGAAAATATGTAAAAATTTAGTAAATATGTAACAATGCAGAAAAAATTAAAAAATGCAATAAAAATTAAAAAAAAATAAACAAAAATGTTTTTATTGCTCACTGACAAAAGCGGACTGATATGAAACGAAAAAATTATAATTGCTAGCTGACAAAAGCTGACTGATATGAAAGGAACAAAATTTGTACATGCTCTATGACAAAAGCTGACTGATATGAAACGAAAAAAATTATCATTGCTCGCTGACAAAAGCTGACTGATATGAAACAATATAATTGCTCGCTGACAAAAGCTGACTGATATGAAACGAAAATTATAATTGCTCGTTGACAAAAGCTGACTGATATGAAACGAAAAACTCATAATTGCTCGCTGACAAAAGCTGACTGATATGAACCGAAAAACTAAAATTTCTCGCTGACAAAAGCTGACTGATATGAAACGAAAATTATAACTGATCGCTGAGAAAAGCTGACTGATATGAAACGAAATATTATAATTGCTTGCTGACAAAAGCTGACTGATATGAACATACATACATATGTTCATACTGATAAGCTGACTGGCACATCTATGTACATATATGCTGTATGGTTAGTGTTATACCTTAGAATTGAAGTATTTGGGTATTTTTATGGGGCAAATTTAGATGATAATTATTTCATAAAAATGTATATAAAATATCCGATAATCCCGAACATTTATTCCGATCTAGTGTAGTACACTAAGTGTACCGAAAAAACAAGTACATATTTTAGTTATTTGCACAGCCAACATTTCAGTGCGGAGATGCCCCCAGTTCGGCCCGTAAATAGTCGATACCGAATCTACCTAATTTTCGTAATCGAAGTTTTAATGAATTTGAAGATATTTTTCAATCAATCGAAGACTTTAATAAACGAAATCGAGATAGTTGTTACTGTGCGTACATAGCGTACAAAGTGAATACAAAATGTGTTAGGACAGTTAGATGCGTAAACATACTACATGACTACATAATCCGAATACATTTCAATCTTAGTTACTTTGCCGCGTTGCTCCTTACTCGTTAGCTTAACAAGTAGATCATCTTTGAGTGTGTAATATCTGTATATATTACAATATGCAGCATCTATGTGCGAGCGCACGAGCGATTCCAGACTACTCCAAACAGTAGATTTACATAATTAATTATTACATATAGATTCTAATGTTGTAAACGATATACAAAAATATAGATCTAGGCGAACCGTACCAGAACGATCTTCGGTTTGCCGGAACTTAATTTACAAACGTGTGGATCAAATCACACGATAATCGTAATCGTAAGAGAAACTAGCAGATAACGAATTTACAATTACATCTAAAACGAGACTCGACCAGTGCGAGTCCATGAACAGGAAATGGTGGTAGTAGTGCTTATGGTGGTGCTATTGGATGTACGCGCTCAGCACGCCATGTCGCCGAACAGTGCATCAGCGTCGCTGGACACAGCGATATCTCGGTGCCAACTTATTCTTCGTCGCGGTGACGGGGACGTCGGCGTTGACGCCTCCGAATCGCCAATGTAGACCGCCGAATCATCAGCACTGGCCGGGGTCATCGGCCTCTCGCAAGTGGCTCCAATCTCCGAAATGGGTATGGAGAGCGATGTCGTCCTCGCCTCTTCGCTGTGCGGCACAACCTCCTTGAAGCTCTGATTGGGCGGCATGACGACGAGCATGTTAATGGATATGAGCAGCGGATGGACCAGCTTCGGGTCGAGAACCATCAGCGGCACCTCCTCGTTCTTCTCAAGACTTAGCGAGCAAATCTCTGAGGTTTGTGTAAAAACTGGCTGGCGTTGAGCATTGATCGAAGTGACAGTGGTGCGGATCATGAATTTACGCTTGGTCTGGAGGCTCAGGACTCGCTCGTGCTCGTGCCGGTGGTGGCGCCGAATATTCAGTCTGCGCGAGTCCATGATGAGTATGAGATCCATGCCAAAATTGAAGCCCGTCCAGCGCCACTTTTGGTACCCCGGCTCGGTCAGGAGGCGGCCACAGCGCATACAATTCTCGAAGAACTGATCGTCGTCCAACTGTTGCGGACTGCTGTGGGAGCAGAGAAAATGGAGAATCAACATTCATCCTCAAGAGACTGGGCGATGGGATGGACTTACCTGTCCTCTTGGCCATGATCGATCCTAAGCAGGGCGTCCCAATGACTGTGGATGTGGCTGTATAGCCACTCCTTGGGTATTATGTTGTCGTTGTAGATGATCTTCAAATCCATGTAGTGGTTTGTGAGGTACTGGGTGCGCAGCTTCTGGAAGACTGGAACAAATGGCTGGCCCTCTGGTGTTGCCAGAAAGGAGCGTTCCTCCATCCGGCTGGTGAAGTACGTCCACTGGGCAACATCCACGCTTGGTGTGTGCGTATCTACGCCAGCGTTAACCAGACGATCCTGAGTTCTCTGCGCCTCAGCCCGCTGCACTGGGTCTTCTGGATCGTGGTCAGGGTGCAGGCGCAAAAACATCCACGTGCGCAGCAACGTGTACAGGGAAAACTCTGTCTGCATCACGTACAGGTCTTGGCTGGCAGTCAGGGCTGTCATCAGATCTATGGAGATGTGCCGCAACAGGTTCGGTTGCTTGCTGTAAATGCTGAGTAGGTTGATCTGGAACCACTGGAAGGTGGATTTCTTCACCCCCACCACTCCGTACTGGCAGGCCGCCTCGTAGTAGTGAATGGCCGTCTCCGCATTGATGGTGTCCACCATCACCTCAGAGCACTTGTCGATGATGCCGTCCAGGTGGAATAGCGTGGCCGTGGCCAGCACTGGTATCACATCCTTTGGATCTATCTCGATCTCGTCCGAGTACATGGAGCCGAAGACCGCATCCAGGCTTTCCACGTTGATGCGGTCGTCGGGGATGGTGATCTGCACAAAGTTCTGTTGCGCCTCCTTCCACGTCCCGTTGAACATCGTATAGAAGTAGGGGCTCTGACTCAAGTACACCTTATGAAGGTGCCACACCTTGTCCAGCACCATCACGGCCACATCCGAGTTCTTTTCCTCCTTGAATAGAGCCTTGTAAATGTATTGCGTGGTCGTCAGCAATTTCTTCCTGTCGGTCGAGGCAAACAATAAATTAGAAAATGGAAATGGAACCACAAACAATGGCTCGCTGAGAGCTGAGCTGCTTACTTCTTGGGCAGAGTGGTACCCAGCTGTGCCTGCTCATCCTGGCCGAGAGTGGAGTCCGTGCTGCGCTTCCGCTTCCGACGATTGCTAAACACCTCGGCCACATTGCTCTGCATGGATCCCATGATCTGACCCATAGCTGGAGTCAAGCGGACTGGCGCTCGATTGTCTGAAAGTATTAATTAAACCCATGAATAAATGTGTGTGTTCGATGTTCGAAGGGGGAAGATTTTCGTCGCGTTTATCGATTTGACAGGTTGCGTGTTGATAGTGCCTCGGCCGGCCTGACTGCCTGAATGGAAAAAGTTGACCCACTTTCGTTCCAGCAGGCCGCCCCCGTAGCTGCTTTAACCACGGAAAAATGAAAACCTCTTCCCCGTGGGTGTCGTGTGGGTGCGGGGCCCAGCACAAGCCCTACGTCTTCTAGAAAGTGTCAACATCAATAGCCCTGCTCAACAGTTGGTGATGTCATCATCATCACCATCTTATTCAGTGCGCTTCTAACTGTTCGACACTTGCAACCAAATCTCATATGACAATGGGATAAGTCTCACAATTTTATACGATCGTTTGAATAGTTCCATAACCGAGTCTATTTCATTTATAAAGGCAAGTCTGATTCTGCCCTTATTCCAAATCAGGCTCCATAAAACTATGAATAGCTGCAATATATATGTATGTATCCATGAAACCCCCACTCTATCTCTGAACATTTTCGTGTAATTTTGGGAGGGGGTGGGGCCTATAATTAGAACGAGATCAAACGAACTCGTTTTCATGACGTTGTTTATGTTTTCGCGAGCAGCTGGAGCTGGATGAATGTTGTAACCATGTCAAGGCCGTTGATGCCAGTGGTTACACTGCCCATAAATTACACACACACTCGTATTTGGGTAATTTTGATTTTCTTTACAGAGTCTCTATCCGAGGTATGTTGAAATTACAGTTCAAATGATTACAAACCTAAAAACTAATGAAAATCCAGTCAGACTATGCAGTTTCCCAATCGTTAATCGCGTCTGAATCGTCTATATCAACACCTTTATTGTGTTGACAACACTGCGATTCGCATTGATATGGATGGCCGGCCACGCTTGATGGTCGCCTTCAACCAATAGACTTGTCCAGTCAGCCAGTCACATCTTGAACTCGCATTTCAGTGATTATGTTATGGGATGGTGGTAGGGTGGGAGCAGCAGATGGAAGTTTGTTTTGGTGCGGCGCAGTTCCGAAAACAAAAGTAAACTATTGAGAACCGGTTTGCGCAGCAATACACATTTCTTATAAGACCAAAACAAGAAAGGCGATTGCAGCAGATTCAAATTACGTCACCAGTTAGAGGCACACACACACACACACAGCGAGAAGGAGAGACAGAGAAAAGCCAAACAACTGTCGTTATATTTAAATGCTCATGATATCACAATATCAAATTGCACTAATGCTAGTTTTAATGAAAAACCACAGCGAAAACCCAACAAAATGGGGAAAAAAAGAAAAAAGTTAATGTAGCCCAAGGAGTAACGGCTAATTAACGTGGGTTTTCGTCGAAGAAGCCAACAAGCTCGGGCGGGATTCGAACACAAGAACGGAACGCGCTGGGTTCCCTAAAACCGCATAACAAACATTCTAAACGTCTAGACCGCATAGCCACGCCAGCTAGAAGATTGATAACTTCCCAGAGCAAACATACATACATATATTTAAGGGGCCGGGGCCCTTCTTGATAGGGAATTCGTAGTTTGATCACACGAAACTACACTGAGGAACAGCTGTTGTTGCGGTTGATCCCAGCCTGATTGGCACTCTGCAAATTCGCACTAATATACGACCTGGCTGTGTTTTTGGCACTGATAACGCAGTAGGCCCCGCTGTGATATGACGAGTGGGAGCACACACCCGCGTGGAGGCTTTTGTTCTCTCTATCTACTTCTCCCTGATTCCATGGCGATTCGTAGAGTGCAGTTAATCTCTGGCTCTATAAATAGGAGACAAACTGAATTCAAAGTATGACGTATGCCGAAGTATGAGAAAGGGGTGGGGAGGAAAGGCAACTAGTACAGAGAGAGAGAGAGAGAGAGAAACGAGCGAACGCGCAGGAGAAACAACAACCGAACGACGCAAAAATTATAGGCACAAGGGTTCGCGGGGCGCGGGCAGGCATAGATAAATGGCGGTGGTGGGGACCGAGATAAATGGAAACTTACTGTAATAGTGCAGTTACAGTAACGTGATTTTATAGAACTGCAGTTGCACTCCACGTTTACTTTTGCCTATTTTCTAAAAACACCAATTAAAAACAGTTCTTTCTGCGTCTTTGAGTAGGATAGGATTCAAATCACTTCATATTTAAAATTGAATATTTATTTTGCATCCAAGTTCCCGATGCACAGCGTGACCGTGACGAAAACGATAAAAAATACCATCCGGCGAAAAAAGAAATACCATTAAATACCATTTTAGTTTCGAGAAATACCATTTAAATACCATAAACTTAAAACATTTATTTCAAGTGTGCAACATTCTCATGTTGCTGAAAGAGAGCAAATTTTGAAAAACCACCAATAATATCGATATTTTTGTACGATAAATGGAGTTTGGCGGTCATTTTGAATATTCGACAGTGGGGGTTAATCGTTGAATGTTCCATGATGACAAATATTTCTCCATACCTTGACATGGTATGCCGACTCATTTTTGCGTCATCGAAACAGCTGACTGTGCGATGTCAGTTTTCGATACCCATATCGTCATTATTCAAATTTGAAAAAAGGGGCAACCCTAAACAGAGGCGTCCTTAAAAACGCGCGAATCTTCAATCTAACAACATAAAAACTACAAACTACAATTAAGCAAGAAACTGCTGGATTTGTGCACTTTGGAGACCAACACAACTTAGCATGAGTGATTCGTCTGAAGCACCAACGCGTGAGAAGCGCTCTTTTCTGATGGCTCGAGATCCCAGCGTTGACCGGCGCTTTCGGCCCAGGCCGAACAAAAAGTTGCGTCTCTTTGATGATATCCACGAATCAGCAGAGAGCACAGATCCCTCAGACACGGAATCAGAATACACATCTAATGGGGGAGACGATGCAACCAGTGTAGAAGATAGCAGTGTAGCGGAGACGGGACCACAGGTGTTTCTGCGTCTGCGTCCCGTGAGTGCTGCCTCCAAGGGATACTCGCTATCAGACGATGGCAAAGTTCTGATAACCAGCGCAAAGAGTGAAAATAGCAGTAACAATGTCAACCGAATGGAAAAGCACTTTGGATTCACATCCATTTTTGATGGCACCGTTGGGCAGCAGGATATCTACGACATCTGTGTTGGCCCCAAGATTCTGGAAGAGGAATGCGTGACCATAATGACGTATGGCACTTCAGGCTCGGGAAAAACTTACACGCTGCTTGGTATGCTCCATATCTTACGGTCTTTTTTACTGATGCAACCACTCATAAGGTTTTTTCACCCGTAGGCGATGATGTGCGGGCTGGTGTTATACCCCGCGGCCTAGAGCACATATTCACAGTCTACCTGGAGAACATGTATCACGCACCCAAGCTAAAACTGATCAACGGGTGCATTGTGTTTTTGCAAGACGACGCCACGCTGCGGGAAATGCAAATAAGCAAGAAACTGCTCGATTTGTGCCCGGATATTGGCGCCAATCACGAGCGACTGAGGCAGGTGATTAAGAGCGATCACACCTTCGAGACGAAGGCCGAGCCAGACGTATCGGTAATGATTTGGGTATCCTTTGTGGAGATCTACAATGAACTGGTTTACGACCTACTGAGCATACCGCCGCGTCAAGAAAACCTTGGAGCTGCGCCACGCAAACCCCTAAAGATCGCCTGCAATAAAGGGCAAGTATTTATCAAGGGCCTCACGACTGTGTTCGTGAAGAGCAGCGAGGAAGCATTGCGGCTCCTGCGGCTGGGGCAGCAGCGTTCCACATACGCTTCGACTTCCGTGAACTCGAACTCTAGCCGATCGCACTGTGTCTTCACCGTGGATGTGTTAAAGTACAACCGCTCGGGCATGACCACTCAATGTTCGTACAAGTTCTGCGACCTCGCGGGCTCGGAACGTGTCAACAATACAGGCACCATAGGGCTACGCCTCAAGGAGGCGAAGAACATCAATACCTCCCTAATGACACTGGGACGCTGTCTGGATGCGGCTAGTACTTCGCGCAAGAAGCCGAGCACTGACGTCATACCATTTCGCGATTCGAAGCTAACCATGCTGCTGCAAGCAGCCCTACTCGGAAAGGAACGATTGGCCATGATAGTGACCGTCACGCCGCTGGAGAAGTACTATGAGGAAAACCTGAACGTGCTTAACTTTGCTTCCATAGCGAAGAATATAATTTTCAAAGAGCCGATGGTGAAGCAGCATAGTACACGTTATTCCAGTTTCTTGGACAACTCAAAAAGGAATAGTCAATACGAATACATTAAAGAGATTGAGGAGGATAACATCGGGTATAGTTATCTAATTGGCACATCACATCCCTTTTCGTGAATATTATTCTTTTTTTGTATCGCACAGTTTGCGGGAAGAGATCGATCGTTTGAAGTTCGACCATGTGCTGAAGATGCAGCTGCTGGAGGAGAAGCTGCGAAAGGAACTTACCGACACCTTCCAGGAAATGATGCGGGTGAACAAAAAACAGTGGGAGGAGCAGTCCGAGAAGCAACTCTTGATGGCAGAGAGGGAGTTTGAGTTTAAGGTTTGTCCGCCCTACCATATAAGATTTGTCTTTCCACAGTCCCTAAGCATACGCGTATCATTGCAGTTGGGCTCACAAAAGCGGCGCTACGAAGAGGAAATTGAGGATCTTAAAGATGAAATCGAGGATCTGAAATCTCCCTCAAGAGACATTGACACTGACAGTATGGATGAAATGGACGAGGATCCCAAATCGCCAATCGAAATACTCGATGACGAATAGTACATGCATACATATGTTTTATTTCAAATGTTTAATGTTTAGTTTAAGTGTTAGTTATTTCTTATATTTAATTCCTTTTCCATTGAAAACCATTCTCATTAAATAAAAATGTGTTTGTCTTTTAATGTGAAGAATTTGCAATCAGAATCAGAATTTCTAGCTGCCAGGCAAACAGCACTGAACAAATAATTGTATCCAATAAATTAATAAATTTTCTACAAGACTGGCTAAGTTTTATTTTTCCCATTAATTAGATATTGAAGAAAGTAAGGATGCTATACACTTGCCAATGCTTTCAGATTTAATGTCACTGAAATCATCCGAATCATTCCGGTCACCAAGGAAAAAGCCATTATTAATATTTCAAATCAGCTTTGAAAACAATCCAATAAAAAGGAATCCTTAAAATTAACCAATCTTGTGAAAAAATTGATTCATCGATTGGATTAAATTGTATTTTTAGTGTTGAAAGTCCTAGCAATCTGGTAATATTAAACCGAATATCAAAATCGGGGAATATGATTTCCGACCATGGACAGAGAACGTTTAGCCCATTGTCGACCAGTGGGTATTTCGATTTACAAACGAATATTATGAAACTTAAAACATTTATTGTTGCATTTCAGGTGAAAGATATGGTGGCAATATTTTTTTTTAAGTAAATGGTAGGACGGATCTGCAACTAGAATATACAAACAGTATTATTTTGCCCAGACAACTCATTTTGTTCACCTGTTTAAAAAGAGCGGGGTTACGTGGGCTAAGTTGGTTTTATTCCTCGGTATATTTATGGTATTTTCAGAAAATGAGAAAGTATATTTTGGTACATTTCTGAGGGACTTATTTTATTGATAAATTGTTGCGCAGTTCATTAGAAAAGTCCATAAAAAAGAGTTTAGATTTTGAATTCAGTGCAAGCCGCATAAAATTAACACCCCAAAGGTACATCAAAAGGATGGTCATACGGCAATTAGCAAACTAAAAGCATAAAACAGTGAAAAACAGTTGTGAAAAAAAAGTGGCACACACAAACAATAAACCCAGGCATATACACACAGACACAAACACATTGACATTGACTGTAACCGCAGCCATGTATATATGTGTACACATTTATGCGAGTATATCATAATAAACACAATTAATGTCTGGTGTTTTGCATTCGTTGCAGCTTGTGGCACCTCTTGTCTGCGGGGGCGTGCAATGTTAAAGATTCACGTCAAAATGGGTCCGCAACGTAGTCATCATCCCAGCAACAACAACAACAGCAATGGCACCGCCACCAGCAGCAACGCCAATCGGCACAAGGAGTTTACGTGCTGTTTTGGTCTGCATGTCCATACGGCTACCCTGATGATAGGATTGTGGCATTTGGTAAGAAACCAATTACCACCCTGTGACCTTTACCCCACCCACACACACAGCTGCAGCAGGCGTCTCGAAATGTGTATACACACCTGCATTCCCACGCATCGCATGCAAGTTTTTGCCGCTTCCTTCATATTTGACCCTGTTCAGTGTCAAGGAGGGGAAAAATCAATTGACCATGCCTGCGCAGTTCCTCAAAAACTGCACGCATCCAGCAACTCTCAAACTTTCGCACTGCACACGTCCAACTTTCACCGCGTAAGTTTTCCTCCCCCTGTGACGTCAATCGGAGCATCAACGGAAGGCGTGCGTCATATGATCTCCAACAGGGCCAGCGGAGATGAGGCTTTGCATTACTTTTCCTAATACGGAAGTGTCGGTCCGAATCATGGCCTGGCAAACGGAATGGTGTGGTCCCAAAGATGTGCCTATTTTCCAGCCCCTTGTGGGGCGACATCGCCTACACATGACTTGGCATCAGCAATTGGCATAATTCGTGTATTTCAATGCTCGTTCCGCCTCTTATGATTGGGGTCCCCTGCGACACGCTTTCATAGCCGCTTGCAGTGCCGCCCTCACGTTTGCAGAAACTAACTGTCACATGCGTCGCGAAAATGATTACAGTTTGAGCAGCAGTTGGAGCTCTCAAACCATTTCGATATTTCTCCGTTTCACTTCTTATCAGTTTCAAGTGCAATTTAATGCCACTTCGACGCTGAGTTTCCCCTTTTCTTTGTTTGTCTTCCTCCCAAATGTCGAGTATCGGCTGTTCAAAGACTCGTATTTATTTATATAGCGTAAAGCCACGAATTGAATATTTCCATTGGATCATCATAAAATGATATTGCGATCTGATCAATCTAAGGGGGTTTACCGCTCATTGGAATTTCCACAAACAAACAATGCTCTTCCATTATAAGTAGTGTCGCATTAAAGGTCAAATTCCAGTCATAACAGAGCCTTGAACCTGAGATGTCTAAGCACGGGCGGCCATATGTGCAAACACCCAGCACCGCCAGATACCCGAAACCATGAGCTGTTTCATTTATTTTTAAAGACTCCACGTACTCGCCAGATGATATGCAAACATTTGCTCTCCCCTCTGATATGCACACATGTAGATGTATGTACAATATCTTTCTGGTTCGGTCAACATTTTCAACAGCGCAACAGAAAGCTGCCATAAATTGGAGAATTGTTAATTCAACTGTCACTTATCAGCACACAAATCGCAAATCAAATCTACTGAAGCTTCCTTATCTGTTTAGGTTTTTTTTTCGCCTGCCAGCTCATCATCATCACCCAAACACCTGCAAGGTATTCCAAAAATGTGTTTAGATGAAAGAACAAATAATCTGTATTTAAATCTATCTGCTTTCCTTGTCATAAAATTGTATAAAACTAGCATTCGAATCGAAATTTTTCATACTAGGGCAATTGCAAATGATTGCTCATTTTCAATGAGAACGCTTCACGAAGAAGCTTATGGAACAGTTTCTGCAAGATTCGAATGCAATGTACAACGGCGCAGAGACCGATAAGGAAGTCTCTGAAGATTCCTATTCGGGGAGTACCGGCCTGAGCTATGACCAAGAGGAGAGCATGGCCGAAGAGGGGCAGGAGCCGACGGGAGAGAGTAGCTGTTCTGGGGACGTGGAGAGCGAGGAGAATGGCCTTGTCTTGCTATACAATAACCCAGCTTTTAACCATCTTTCGACCACATCCTTGCCCAGAAATGCTGGCGACTGTAAGGAGCGCTCACTGTTCTCCTTGGGCTTTATCGGATCCGCGAATTGGCCGACAGTGGAAACAACTCCGTGCCAAATGAAAAACAAGCCGAATCTGTATGCTCTACTGCTGAAGCTGGCCAAAAAACGCGTGAGGACCAATTCGGTTATCAAAATCGGCGACTGTCGGTTCCCTGTGCATCTCATGGTTCTGCGGAGCTATTCACAGTCGTTTCGCGACGCCGGCCACGATGTGGAATTGGAGCTGCCAGAGGAGTACGTGACCGCAAGGTGTTTCAGTCTTATTTACGAGTGGATGCTCACAGACAAGCCGCTCCTGCCCCGATTGGGCCTGCTGGAGGTCCTTCGAGCGGCAAAGTTCTTAAAGATCACCCAGCTGGTGCGCCAGTGTGAGCACTGTCTGATAGATGGCTGCAAAGAGGACGCGGCCGCATTGCTGTACGTAGAGGCGAGACTCCTGAACATGGAGCGATCTCAGCGACGTTTCCTTCAGCGAATTTCCAAGTTCTTTCTGACACTGGTGGCTTCTGAGGAGTTTCTTAACCTGCCACTGAAGCCGCTTCTTCTTCTGCTTAATTCCACTATGCTCGGTGTGAACTCCGAGCTGGAGGTGTTCATGTCTGCAGTGCGTTGGTTGAATTGCCGATGGCCTCAGCGGCAGGACATGCTAACAATGGTTACATCTTGTATTCGTTTTGCTCTGATCGCGCCCTGGCATCTGGTACGACTCCAGAATCCAGAATTATCTGCCCTGGAAGTGTTGAGGGTCGTCTCTGATTCGGATGTGCGTCAGCTGATCCACGATGGCATTGCCTACACCACCACGCGAATCTACTACGGCGCCGATCAAGAGGGCTTCAAGGGTCACCTGCTCAGAACGGCCACGAGAACACCCGAGCCAAGGACTTGGATCTTCGACCCCAACTGCAGTCATCACCATCGCATTAACTGCAAGGTGGCCCTGGACTTTTCATACAAAACATTCATTGGATATCTCAACCACCTGCAGGTGCAGCCCAAGCATTACTGGCAATCGCTAGAGTCAGCAGTGGCTCCGAGCGGCGTCGAGTGCCTTAGCAGGCATCACTTAACCCAAAGTTTGGAGTCCTTGGAGCCAGCCGATCAGCGCTAAACCCCCGTTTCTGTTGTATTCATTTGTTGGGATAATGTTTAATATATATCTTGATACTTATTCTATTGAATCATCAGCCTATTATTCATTTCCCCATCTCCTCCCCACTTGCAGTTCCTCAACATACTGGCTTTGAGCGTTCTGGCGGTCATTTGGCGCAATCCCGAGATGATGGACGAGTTGGAAAGTGGCAGCCACGACTATACCGTTGATCTCAATGCACCGGCCTTGCCGACGCCGCTGAGCAAAGTTGACCCGCCCTATGCGTACCGTGACCATTCCCTCAACTATCGTAAGCGTGAGCGTAAGCAGTGACACAGAGTGGATCCGTGGATGGTTTATTAATTGATGTTTTTTGTTTGATTCGGATGCTTGCAGAGAACTTTGACATGGGCGGCCTGGTATGCACCTGCATGATAGCTATTACGCTGATGATGATCTATGGAACCATCAAGGGTAAACCGTCGCATCTGTTGCCCTTCTTCTGTCTGCAGCTCTTTGACTTTGCCATAACCACGTAAGCAGATTATTTTAAATCGTTGTTTGTGGGCAGCCTCCTGATGGCACTTTCTTTCCTTTCCCGTTGCAGCCTCACCGCCGCTGGCTATCTGTGCTACCTACAGGCCATCCATCGCATCATTGCCGAATCTCACCGCTTGCCATGGCGCGAGAAGCTGCTGGAGCTGCCGCCGGAGGAGCTCGTCGTGGTGGTTCTCGTCGTTTTCGTGTGCATCGTATTCCTGAAGGCCTACTGCATTGGTATCGTCTGGCGCTGCTACAAGTACTTGACTCTGCGTCAGCAACATATCCGGACCTTGTTCCCCTTCCTCGAGACTGGATCCGGGGTCCATGGTGTGGGCGGAACCTTTGGCGCTGAGGAGCGTGCCTACTCCACTCTGTTGCCCAACTATGATGAAGCGATTGCCCAGTACTTGAAGCAGGCACCGCCGCCATCCTATCAGGTGGCCATGTCCAACTACCAAGAGGATCCGGCCGGAGAAGCTGGCGGTGCTGAAGCAAATCCCGGTGTGGCCCCCCTGTTCGTGGCTCTGGGTGCAGCGGCCACTGCAAACGCCGCCTCCAATATGGATGATAACATGGACAACAACAACGAAATGCCGAACAACAACAACACGATGCATGTGAATGCCAACACGCCTCCAATGCGACGCAGCGATGCCGCCCTTGGCCCCATTTCCGATGATGATGATGATCTGGAGGTGATCGACGCAGGCTTGGAGGCGATGGAAGGCATTCCACCGCCGCCGGCCTACAACGATGTGGCCGATGCCGAAGTGCAGGTGCCATCACCGTACCCGGTGGATCGTCAGGTCAACATGACACCTGGCCGCAATGAGAGCCAGGCCTAAGTTGTGATTTCTTTAAGTTTGTTTCTCACTGTGTAATCGTGATGTGCTTGCAGCACACGCTGCTCATATTACTCGCATCCACATCCACATCGTCTTGCCCAGCCGCACAACTTTTTGGTTTTCATTACTTGGCTCATTCCGTTTCCTTCATGAATCAGGTGCACTCTTGCGCTTAAACATATATGCTATATAAACCTCTATCTATACATATATATGTGTGTGTTGAAAAGTGTTTTTAGCAAATCCAAAAATTTAAAGTAATTTCCTCTTTTAAACCGTCGCTGAGTGCGCATATATGTATGCTATATCTATATGTATATGGTTGCTTCTCTTCAAATGTCCCAGGAAACCCAAAAGAAAACAAAAAACAATTATTTCGTTGTGGCCCAGAAAAGCTTCAATTCCTTTTCGGCCACATACGATATTCGAAATTAGATGAAACAACAACCTGTTAAAAACGTTTTCATTCCGTTAACCATGAGAACTTCAATTAGATTAAGCCCAAGTAGCTCGTTACCAGATTAATTCGATTGGCGCCCGCAGCCCACAGCCCGAAAGCTCTGTCTATGGACACGGATTTGGATGTTGTATGTGTTAAGCTATCTCGTAAGACTCAATGCATATTCTATATATATACTCTATACTTGATACGGAACACATGGCGTACATACCCCCATCAGTTACGATGCTATATATCACCCGGATTTTACTATTGTGTATCAATTAACAGCAAACGAATCGTTTTATGTGTGTACGATATCTATATGTATACTGTATACTAAATATGCAAAGATATTCGAATAAATATTAGTTTGTATTCAATTCAAAATGTAATTTCTTGCATTATCATTTGCGGATCGTGGATGATATCTTACGTACAAGACATTGTGTGACTTCTGGGGAATATAGAGTGAATTGGGTACCGTCGTTTGTATGTCATATAAAAGAATCACTCTTGCGGGTGGGGCTGCATCCCTTTGTTTTCGACCACTTTCAGCTCAGCTTCTCTGGGGTCGTGTAGGCGAGCTTGTTCTATGATGAATCAATCAGGCTTGCTGGCCATATGACTTGATAACGATGATTTTGATCTCGTCTCTTACTCCACCACACCAAGTCGAGCGTTGAATTCGAGGAAAGTCCCGCAGCAAAAAAGTACCCGAAGTTGTTTTTCAAGCGTGTGTATTGTATTTTTAAGAATTTATTTGCATTAAAGTTTTTTTTTTGTATTTTTTTTTTTGTATGCATTGACCTTTTTGCTTAGGCCTTCCAGTTGGACCAGGTTCTGATCTCGTTCCAGATGTTGGTGCCGGGGCACTCGGTGGCGCTGACCTGACGGTGGCCGTACAGAATGTAGCCGGAAACGATCTGTCCGCGAGAGACGGCGTCGGAGAGGAGACCCTTGGCGGCGGTGGTCTGGGCGGCGGTGATCTTGTCGGTGTTGTAGTTACCCAGGAAGGAGATGCCAATCGACTTGGAGTTCCAGTTGGTGGCATGAGCACCCATCACGTTCCAGCCACGGCCCTCGTACACATTGCCGTCACCGCCGATCAGGAAGTTGTAGCCGATGTCAGCCCAGCCGAGGGAGTCCATGTGATAGGCCTGGATGTTCCTCAGTTGGGTCTGGCAAGCGGCTTGGGTTGTGCAGTAGTTGCCGGCGGTGTGGTGGATTACAGCGTAGCTCAGGTACGAGCCCAGGGAGGTCTTGCTCGTGGCCGAGCGGCCTCCCCACTGCGACTTGCTGATGATGTTCACACCCAGAGCAGCCTGGGCTAAGCAGAACACAGCCAGAAGGATAAGAGCTTTGTTTGCCATGGTTGAAGTTTGATTGTACATTGTTCCACTCAATGTCTGTTTATATACCCGTACCCCCTAACAAAACCCGAGCAGGCTTATCGCCAGCGATGAACAGGCGCGCGAGTCAGTTGAGTTCGCGCGAGCCCACATCTGATATGGCGGCTATCTGAAGCACATCCTGATATGGGCGTGATGACGACCAAATCGGTCTTCTAATCAGCACAAGTGCTACTAATTAATTTGTCTAAAGTTTCCCTGCAGACCTATACTGTGCTAGAATAATTATAGTAAATATTTATAGATGGCCATGTAATGAACTTTTATAGGTACAGGACTTCGAAGGATGCTATAATTTAAGCCGGATAAATCATCCATAAACGCCGTTGAGCTTTGAAGCTCGAAAGAAGGCCTTCCTGTAACAGATGACGCAGTCGTATGTTAATTATTTTATTATTATTATTATTTATTTTTAATTTTTTTTTGCAAAGATAAATAACAATTTACAGTTCCCATGGTGTAGAATACATTGACATCATACGATTTTCAAATGCTACTCTGCCATAAATTTTGTTTATTTATTTTGTTTCTTTTGTTATCAATGTGATATTATGGGTTTTATACTAATTTACGAGCGTCTTGAAAGCGATGAAGTGGCTGATATGATTTAAATCAAAATCTTACACCAAAAATATACACACATGGCGAGAGGATTCCATTTGGAATTTTGATTAGATTACTGCCCTCGAACATCATTAAATTCTACAATGGCTAGTAGGGGTCAGACACTGGCTGCACACGCTTCTAATTGGAACAATCGCAAGATAACTTTCTTATTTCATTCGCATTTTTGATTAGATGACGCAGATACAGATATTCGTACCACAGGACGGTTTGGATGTGAGCCAGTTTCTGCTAGAGCAAGTGAACGACTCACTGGCGAGTCACTGGTTCCGCGAGAGCCAAGTTGTTTATCTCCAACCAGCATACGCCGTTAGAAATTTCAAGCACAAGCGATTCGCTCTTATTGAACTTAGCCTCTCTGCAGCCGCCAGAGAGAGATGACACTGGTATACATATGTACGGTGATGTCAAATATCAAGAGTATTATAGCGTTGAAGTTGAAGATTCGGTTATGTATGCGTAGCTGCAGTGATAACATATACCGTGTACATATACCTCATTACACCTTCGTTGTAGTTCGCCGCATACTTTTCCGCCTGAGAGGATGATTATAGACATGACCTACGATCAGAGTGGAAAAGCTTATTTATTATTGTTTTGTTGTCTGGTAAATCATTTGCCATTTGCCAGTCAGTGAATGCAGTAGCATTTAAATTCGGTTTGGTTGCTCAACTAAACCACATGTAATCTTATGCATCTTATGCAAGGGCGATCTAGTATTAAACTAATACTTAAGTAAAAAAATTAGAATCGATCAGAATCCCCAAAAGTAGGTTCGGATTAATCAGCGTTTTTTTCAAGCAGATTGCGATAAATTTTCATTTTAAATAATGGTCTCGTGAATCTAGAATCTAAAATATTGTAGAGTGGTAATCAGTAAAATAACGAAAATAAATGCTCAGTTTAAGGTAGGGGCTACGTGCAACCCACTGCAGCATTTTTTTTTTGTGGTGGCACTCAATTCTTGCCGAGGGGGGGAATAAGTTGGGGCCAAGCCACCACTTTACCATCCCCCCGGATGCGCTTTCGCGGTTTCATTGTTGGTCAACGAAACACGGCGCAAAAGTGACCCCGAGATTCATCTTGAAACTGAAAACTTAAGCATTAAAAAACAACTTCAAACTATTCAAAACTACTTTATTAACGGCGGATGTTGTTAATGCTACCAATTGAGGAGCTCCCGCCCGAGTTTTGGGCTCAGTGGCGGCAGTGAACAGTGCATTAAAATTTGTAGCTACATTGCACATCTTAAATCAAAAAGTTGTCGAATTTCATTCCTAATTCTTTGAAGGAATTTCTCATTGTCCCTTGTCCGAATGGGCCTCGATTGCGTCCCCTGCTATTGTTAAAACGTAGCCGTCAAGTTTGTGTCAAAGTTTAGCTCAACAATTTGAGCGTGAGATGTGCGACGACGACTTAATGATATTCTACAAGTTTCTCCTGCTTGAATGGCTATTCAACGGCTTCCTTCCATTCATCCACACATCCTAACGTCTCGTCGCGCCGCCGACTCTGCGGAAAATTCGTTGCTTCGTTGGCAGAAGTTCGTTGCTCGCTGAGCGCAAATTTGAAAACTTTTTGGTCAATTTTAACGAATGAAATACTTTGACAGCTCGAACGTGAGTGTTTGCCTGCCAAACGAAGATGGAGAGCGGGAGCGGGCCTCTTCCACATCCCACTCTTTGGGCCATGGAATTTTCTTTTGTCCAGTACATTAGACATTTACATGAAAGCGATCCTTAAATGGAAATTTCAAACTAATGCCCCCCCCCCCACATGCTTATCCTCGCAGTCCACTCCCCTAGATCAATCCAAGAATTAATGTCTCCATTTAGTTTTATTGATATTTCTATGGTCATGTCTAGCCGGACCAGTGGGACCAGCCGCGGATCTCGTTCCAGATATGGGTGCCGGGGCACTCGGTGGCGCTGACCTGGCGATGGCCGTAGAGGACGTATCCAGAGCTGAGCTGGCCACGGTTGACGGCGTCGTTGAGCAGGTTTTTGGCAGCGGCGATCATGTTTGGCTCCAGGGTGTCCCAGTTGAAGTTGCCCAGGAAGCTGATGCCAATGCTGTAGGGGTTCCACTCGGCGGCATGGGCACCCATGTGGTTCCAGCCACGGCCCTCGTACACATTGCCATCGCCGCCAATGAGGAAGTTGTAGCCGATATCGGGCCAGCCCAGGGAGTCCATGTGGTAGTTCTGGACGCTGCGCAGGACAGCCTCGCACGCGTACCGGGTCTCGCAGTAGGAGCCAGCGGTGTGATGGATGATGGCGTAGCCGAGGTAGTTGCCCAGGGCTACAGTCCAGAAGGGAGCACGGCCGCCCCACTCTGCCTTGGAGATGACATAGACGCCTTGGGCCATGTACTGGCTGCACACCAGCACGGCGAGAAGAAGAGCAACTTTGGACACCATGACTATGGACAGTTCTGGTTCTGATGGAGAAGCCCTTCGCCAACGCGGTGCTTTTATACCAAACTGGAACGATCCACTGGAAAGGGAATGGCATCTTATCGAGGTACTTCTATATGAAACTGATTTACAATGCCACTAAACATTAATTCGTGTTGGGGGAAGAACCTCTCTGAACAAGCCTCGTCGCAGTTTTCTGATTTATAAGAGCGGCCACTCCAATGGGGTTTATCAAATCACATGGGGCGACACATTGACTGGCAATTTGTTTGGTGTTTGCAATGTTTCTATAAGGAAATAGGGAAATAGGAAACGAGTAGCTACGTTTTTATTTTACTTCGGATCAATATAACTATCTTTGGCGAACTCATGAATCAAGTTCCATTCAACCAAGCCGGAATACAGGATGAAAATGGCATACAAAATAAACGAAAATATGGCTGCTGAGCGGCGAGCGAAGAAGTTGAATGTCACAGTCCACCACAACATGAATACAATGGCCACATTGAAAAAGATGTAACAGTTCGCGCCCATCCTTCCGAACAGGAAAAATGTGGAGCCATGGCGGACAGTCTCCTGGAGCAGGACAGCCAAGCCCATGCTAATCATAATATCTGAATTTGGTGATGCGGAAAAGAAGCCAATGGATACGGTAGGGGATACGATGATGTAATCTTGACTTACTAAATATGGGAGCACCTAAGATGGCGCCCAAGGCCATTTGTTCGTAGCCATCCAAGGCCAGGGAAACATCAACAATCATGTCTCCGACGCAAGCGGCCAGCGAACGGAAGGTGACGGCGACGAAGCTCTCGGATAGGTACACAATCAGTCCCGCAATGCAGCACAGGATCTCGAGCTCGGCAGCACAGATCCCCATTATTACCAGCGAACCGGCTGAACTCAGTCCAAGGAATAGCTTTGGAGTACGAGTACATTGGTTAATGGCAGGTTCTGTGGCTATGGGCTTGAGGTTCAGTGCTCACCGAATGATACGGGGGCGGTATGTCGGTTCGGGAATGAATGAATGCAATAATAGCCAGGGGAACTGTGACACACAGACTCCACTTGGCATAGGAGAATTGAAGATCAATAAACCAGTTACTGAATTGACTCACAAAGATAGCTAAGGTAAGGGAGAATCCATATACAGATACTTAGAGGATATACAAAATATATAAACATATGGATATACTTACAGTCAACCAGGGTAATCATTATTAAGGGGCAAGTGATTATCTGTATGCAGTTGAGCAACTTGCTCCAGCCGTGCTTGTCCTTCTCGTAGTCCACAGTGGGCAGAAATAACGTACAGACGAGCTCTAAAGGTGCCTTTAATAGCAGCAAAAGCCGACCAAAGCATCCCGCAAAAGCCCCATTCCTCCATATTTATGGGCATCACGGTGTCCCAGAAATCTGCGAACAGAAACAGATTCTTCGAATTCTCACTCGAATGCAGTATCGTGCGCGTTTCCTCGAAATCCACATCCGCATTGATTTTCTTTGGCCAGGGTGTGGTGAATCCATGAGTCCATTCATCCCTTATGTGATGCGGCTGGTCGCTGTCGTTGGAATCTCCCCAAGAGGAGCTTCGTCGTTTTTTCTTGTGTCGGTGAATACTTAACCGATGATCTTTTTCCAATTCCTTAAGTTTGAACTTCATCCGCGCTATCTGGGCCCTCCGTTCCGCTGAAGCTGGTCTCCGATTTGCTTCAGCAATTTGTCTACGTAGCGCTAAAAACAGTCGAAGTCAAGAAAACACACATTCGAATACTTAGAGTGAAGAGAATACTCACAGTTGACGGTCATTCGCGCAGCAATGAGATCGCCAATGATTACAATCAAGTAAATGAAGTATCCACAAATCAGATCTATCGTAAATGGATTGTGTAAGGTAGCGAGAGATCATTCAATATAGGAATTTAAGCTGCTTACATATCCCATCTTTGGCGTATAGGTGCTTGTGCCTGAGCAATATAAAAGTGAGGGTTTCACACGCCAGTATCAGAACGAGTAGATCTCTGACGGTGCTGTTGGGATTCATCTTGAAGGGTTTCAGGTAACAAACCATACCGCCGGATACCAGGACGATGGCCATAGAATTGCTGATGGAAATGGCGAACATTGGTGCCTCGGATCTCACTGGCAACATGTTTGCCAGTGCGTCCGGCAAGGAATTTCCAATGGCGAGCAGCGTAGAACCGGCCACGTACTCATTTAGGCCCATCTTCATCGATATGACCTTCAGCATGGGACTGAAGCTGAGGGGATAGCTGGGCATTAGTAGATTAAATTCCCCCTCAGATAACATCACTCACTGAGACTCCACGACAATGCTAATGATGACCATTAAAGAAATGACCAATACGAGGATAAAGAATAGAGCGCACAGCTCGCTCACTTTGCTTCGTATTTCGAGGTCGCAGTACATAAGGACGAAATAGTGTACCATAGTCGAGAGAATATCGCACTCTTCCACCTTGACGGCCAACTTGCATCGATCTTCAAAGTCAAATTTCATAATGCTAAAGCAGCTCATCTGCGCGATACATAATCTGTTAAGTCCACCCTAAATGAGTGCCAATGGGGAAATTACTTACCTCACTATAGTCAATGGCATAGAAGGTACTATTACTTTCATGCCGCATGGCCAAGCGTTTTGTACGAGTATATGGATAATGGAGATTATTAAAATAAAGTTAAATATAGTTGTGATTGAAACGGAAAAGACAGTTTCATATATCTAAACATACGATTGCTTCCCGATTGCTCAATCATGCATTCTTCGAGTAAATACGATCTGTCATAGTTCCAGAGTTATGGCAAAAGCAGTTAGCCATTGGGGGGACATGACAGGACATCATTTATGGTTTATTCTTCATTACCGAGCTCCGAGTTTTTCGGATTTGTACAAGCACAAAGTTGGTCGTACAATTTCAGTCAGTCTGTTAACTAAGTAAATCGAAACTCAATTATATTTGTTCTATTCAATAATAGAGACAATCTGCACAATGTCTGATAATGTAAACGAGACTGACTTAAGCATTTTGTATGAATTCCGTCACTATCTATCGGATGTAAGTAACCTGCTGTAACGGCACACAACACTTTATCCTTCCCTGTTGCAGATGAGCTGTATGACGATGATGCGACTCCCTTATAACAAGCGTTGCATGATGGCCACCGAAGTGAAGAATTGCGATGTAATCGTGAATATCTTCCACTACTTTCGAGTGCTGTACTGCTTGTTTAACGTTCACGACCAACTCACGGAGATATGCGTGATGTTTCTATTTATTATGATATGCCTCGCATTTCTGGAGCTGATGTCATCGAGCATTCGGTTGTAGTAAGTCGCTGATGATCTGTTGCTCCTGCAGTGTCTTGGAATTTATTCCCTTGCATAGCTTTACTCCGGCTTTGAAAATCGTCTCCGTTTGGCTGCACATGAATGAGTATTTGACAGGCGTTACCCTGCTGTCCTTTGGCAATGCATTACCAGACATTGTTGGCAACCTAGCGCCAATTAGAGGCAATGCATCTATATTTTCCATCGTCACTGGCAATGCCCTGGTCATCATACTCCTAAGTGGCGGCATGGTCTGCTTCCTGAAGCCATTCAAGTTGAGCGGCTCCAGCACCACCAGGGACCTTCTGTTTCTGCTGCTTTCTGTGGAGCTGGCACGATACATAATATTATACGGCGGAAAGGTGACCATTGTCAAGAGTCTTGGTAAACCGAACCTCTCCTCTCCCTATCCTATGCTCGCAATTTAATTAAATTCGAATTCTCTCATTCCAGTGATGATTTCTATTTACTTTATCTATTTGTCCATCAATATCATCGATCTCGTGGTGCTGCGCCACAGCATCAGAAGTAAGTGAATAGTCATTTTAAGTCAATTTTTCATTTTTTTTCGATTTGCATCTGCTAGAACTTCGAAGGGAACTCTACGAATTGATGAGCAAGCCGCCTGGCGCACAGCGGGACCAAGAGATCACAGAAAAACGACTTGCAATATTAGATCTGAAAATTCACGACGAAATGATTATCACGGACACCGCAAGTTCCCGGCGTAAGATCGCGGAAAGACGTCGCTTCTTCAAGGGTAACAACGCTGCTATCTTAACCACATCCAAGTCGGTGGACCATCACGAGCCAGTTGACTTTAATGCCACTGGAAAAATGCTGCACGATGACCGAAATCCGAAGAACCTGTATCTAATCAGCGATTTCCTCGAGTCCCTCAATCCCATTGATATGGAGGATTGGCAGCTGGGTGGCTGGTGTTGGCGCTTCTACCAGATTATCGGGTGTCCACTGGTTTTCCTGCTGCTGCTGCTCATTCCATATGTGGACTATGAGAAGGAGAAGCACGGCTGGAGCAAGTTGCTCAACTGCATTCAGCTCATCACGGCACCGTTCTTCTACATTTTCCTTGTGCATTGTGGGTATTGCAGGACTGAAGTGAATCATCTCATTATTCCTACCCTTTCGATTCTTTTCATTTAAGCAATGATGGTAAACGAATACAGCGGCTGGCACCTCATTCTACAATTTTCCTACGCAAAGTGGTCCTTGCTGCTGACAGTGCCTCTGGCCATTGCTGTCTTCGTTCATAGTCGCACAGATCGGCCGCCCTTCTACCATATCGTAAGAAATGGCAATGGTGCGAGTATTTCTGTATCAAACACCACCCGCCCAATCCCTAGGTCTTCGTCGGCCTGAGCTTCACAGTTTCGATTGTGAACATCTGGATTTGCACCTGCGAAATTGAGGTGCTAACTTCTGTTGTGGGCATTGTCTTCAACGTATCCTCAAACTTCATGGCCATCACCTTTGGCTCGATGTCGATTGCTACCGCGGATATAATAGCCAATGCAACCCTCGCCCTGCAGGGCTACGAGAAGATGGTATTTGCGGCCATAATCGGTGGACCACTTCTCAGTAAGTGAAAGAGATCTATGCCCCAGTGACATCTGAAATCTATCATCTCACATTTTTGCTTGCAGACAACATAATGAGCATTGGAATGTCCCTGTTGTATAACGAGAGTGTTCGCCACGAAGGGACGGCGTCGCCACTTTATGGCTACCACGGGGAGAACTGTTACATATTCCTCATGATCACCATTATAGGCACATTGTGCTGGTGCTTCACCTTCAACTTCTTTATCCGACGCTCCGCCGGCATATTCCTGTGGATCATATTTTTATTGTTTTTTGTTTACACCGCTGGCATGGAATGGGGCTTTGTGCATGGCTTCAACGATGACATACAAAGGGAGCCAATGTAATTCGGATTCCTTGTTCCTTGTTCCTATTATCCCCAATAAAAATGGTAGATATTATTTGTGCTCGGGTTCGTTTATTTTTCTATGTCTCTAGCCGGACCAGTGGGACCAGCCGCGGATCTCGTTCCAGATATGGGTGCCGGGGCACTCGGTGGCGCTGACCTGGCGATGGCCGTAGAGGACGTATCCAGAGCTGAGCTGGCCACGGTTGACGGCGTCGTTGAGCAGGTTTTTGGCAGCGGCGATCATGTTTGGCTCCAGGGTGTCCCAGTTGAAGTTGCCCAGGAAGCTGATGCCAATGCTGTAGGGGTTCCACTCGGCGGCATGGGCACCCATGTGGTTCCAGCCACGGCCCTCGTACACATTGCCATCGCCGCCAATGAGGAAGTTGTAGCCGATATCGGGCCAGCCCAGGGAGTCCATGTGGTAGTTCTGGACGCTGCGCAGGACAGCCTCGCACGCGTACCGGGTCTCGCAGTAGGAGCCAGCGGTGTGATGGATGATGGCGTAGCCGAGGTAGTTGCCCAGGGCTACAGTCCAGAAGGGAGCACGGCCGCCCCACTCTGCCTTGGAGATGACATAGACGCCTTGGGCCATGTACTGGCTGCACACCAGCACGGCGAGAAGAAGAGCAACTTTGGACACCATGACTATGGACAGTTCTGGTTCTGATGGAGAAGCCCTTCGCCAACGCGGTGCTTTTATACCAAACTGGAACGATCCACTGGAACGGACTGGAATGGACATCTTATCGAGGCACTAATGTATATTAAACTGATTTACAATGCCACTAGCAGTCTCCTCTATTATTCGTTAGGGGAAGAACCTAGGTACCTGGTACAGTACACAGTCCTCTGATATTGATTTATACGGTGGCTGCTTATCAAATCGCTGACGTAGACATCTTGGCTGGCAATCACTTGGCTATTTTTGGTTTTCCTCCAAGGAAATATTTCTGTTTTGTTTTGAAGAACCCTCAGAATATACCTATGTTCGAGTATACGTAGGTGTTCGTTCGATTCCCTTCAACGCTTTTAACTTGCATAAAAATAGTTTTAATATTCACATATCGAAGGAAAGAAAGTCTGCATAATGGCTGATCCAGTTAATAAATTGAACTGGACATACCTGGACCAGGAGTTCTATACGTATCTCAAGAACGTAAGTCATAGTCATAGTCATGGTCAATCCTCTGGGACTTCCTAGGCATCCTTTCCATTCCTTTTGTGAAATCAGATGAGCTGCTTGACGGTGATGAAGCTGCCATACGAGAGACGGTGCATGATGGCCAGACAAGTGCTGGACTGTCAGACCATCATCAATCTGTTCAACTACTTCAAGATGATGTACTGTGCGTTCCATATATCCGATAAGTTCACGGAGATTTCGGTGATGGTGCTATTTTGTCTGCTTGTGATTGCCTTTCTCCTGCTCATGACCCTAACCATTGACGTGTTGTAAGTTGGCAAGGATATGCTCTCAATGTTGTTTAGCTGCTACTCCATGCCATCCCCATGCCATCCCCATGCCATTCTGCAGTTTCGCTCCTGCCATGAAGATCATTTCGATGAAGCTGCATATGAATGAGTATCTGGCGGGCGTTACACTCTTGGCCTTTGGCAATACATGTCCCGATTTGATAGCCAATCTAATGCCCATTCGAGCCGACGCACCCATATTCACGATAACAGTGGGCAACTCCCTCGTCATCATACTCCTAAGTGGCGGTATGGTCTGCTTCCTGAAACCCTTCAAGATGAACGGTCCCAGCACCATTCGAGATCTTCTCTTCCTGCTGCTCAGTGTGGTGACGCTCCGTTCGATAATATTCAGCGAGGGAAACGTGTCCATAGCTGAGGCTGTTCGTAAGTGTGATCCTCTGTTCCATGTTCCCGTTTGATTGCTCCAAAATAACCATTCATTCACCCATGATTTGGATTAGAGCTTATTTCCATTTATCTTTCCTATCTGATTATCAACATACTGGACCTTCTGCTGCTGCGCTACACCATAAAAAGTAAGTCCTGAAATCGTAACCAATTTATATTTTTATTGTATTTGTATTTAAACAATGTAGAGCTTCGAAAGGAAGTTATTCGATTGAAAACTTCACCTGCCACCGAAGGCGAGATATCCGAAAAGAAGCGTTTATTGAGTGAACTGGAACGGGATGACGAATTGAATATCAACGACACCAAACAGCTCAATCGAACTCAATCTGGATCAATCGAGAAGGGCTTCTTTTTCAACACAAAGCAGCGAATTCGTCCCCAAGTCGTTAACCATGTAGCCACCCGAACTATCCTCTATAATGTGCGAAATCCGAAGAATCTTTTTCTGGTTACCGAATTCTTTGAGTCTCTGAATCCCATTGATATGGAGGAATGGCAGTTGGCTGGCTGGTGTCAGCGCATCATTCTGATCGTTCGAAGTCCACTGTATTTTTTCCTCATTTTATTTGTCCCCGTTGTGGACTATGAAAAGGACAAGCACGGCTGGAGCAAGCTGCTCAATTGCACGCAGATCATCACGAATCCGTTCATCATGATCACCTTGGTGCATTGTAGGTATCCCACACGTGTGCATAGGATGGATCGTCGTTATTATCATTACTCTCTCCCTTTAGCTTCGGCCAGCAATGAATATTACGCCTGGTACATAGTCCCCAATTTGAGCATCTCAATGTGGTCCCCCTGTGTGACAGTGCCTCTGGCCACAGTTGTCCTCATTCACAGTCGCACAGATGTGCCGCCCTTCTATCACATTGTAAGACATCATCTACATCGATGACTCCGCTGCACATCTACCCTCCTCTTCCTTCTCTCCGCCTCTACCCCCTAGATCTTTATAGTGTTCAGTTTCATCAGCTCAATCGTTATCATCTGGGTGTGTGCCAGCGAAATGGAGGTGCTAACTTCCATTGTGGGCATTGTCTTCAATCTATCGGGTAACTTTATGGCCATCACCGTTGGCTCAGTTGCCAATGCGATGGCGGACATAATTGCCAACTCCAATCTGGCCCTCCAGGGCTACGAGAAAATGGCCTTTGCCGCCATTATAGGCGGTCCCGTGTTTGGTGAGTACTCGGCTGCAATTTGTTCATTCTCAATAGTCTATTTCCGCACAGCCATTGTTGTTACCATGGGCGTTTCCTTTATCTTTAATGAAAAAGTTCGCACGGCTGGTGCTGCATTCTGGCTGTATGGCGAGCACGGGGAGAACTGCTACTTGTTCCTCATGATCACCATCATAGCCACATTGTGGTGGTGCTTGACCTTCAATTTCTACGCCCGTCGATCCGCTGGCATCTTCATGTGGCTGATATTTGTAATATTCATCATTTATTGTTGTGGTGTGGAGTGGGACATTGTGCACGAGTTCTCCAAGGATCAGTTCTTTAATCCAAAGTAAAGATGTACTTCTGCTCGTACTTGTGCTTCATTCCTTATTTATTTCACCTTCCATGCATACATGATATGTTTAAACTTTCAGTAGAAGCAGCCTGATCCGACACACAGACTAATTAAACTAATGAAGTATCATAGTTAAGCCGCACCCAGTGAAATGCATACCAAAGACAAAGTCGTCCACAAGAACTGACAGTCCATTGAAATTCAGTGGAGCAATCGCTTCCAAGTTCTGTCCTGCCACTTGAGCAGCAGCAACCAGCCACCAGCATCGTCTCTATTACAGAAAAAAGCGTTCTGCATAATGAAGGAAAACGGATGGCAACGACAGCGAAAGCGTCGCGTTAATTAGGGTTAAAGTGGTTCGGGGTTGGTGTTCTGTCAGCGTTTAAGGAGCCAGTGATTTGTGCGACAGTGTGGATGCAAAGAAGGAACCAAAGATAGAGGCCACAAGTAGGTCAAACTGAGGGGGAAAACTGACTTTCACAGTTCATATCTGCACCACAAATTGGGGCAACATTAATATTGGGTCTTACATGTAAATTTCACTTGATTCCGGCTCTTATTCCGACTGTAGCTGAAGCATAACCATTACATTTAAGTACAATTGCATAACCAAGAAGGGGAGGCACATACTCGTACTCGTAGAGAGGCAAAAAAACGATGCGGAAGCCATCTCCAGCGTCAGCTTCAAAGGCAAATGCAACACAGAGTTCCGGCAGCAATAAAAGCACTCAAGACCCTCAGACTTCCTGCCTGCCTGCCAGCCTGTCCATCTGACTGTCTATCTGGCGGTACCCTCTATCCGTGCACTTAATGGGACATGTTTTTGCAACAGCTTTGGTTTCTCTTTTCGCCACTCCAACCATTCCGAGTCCCCCGATCCCAGCCCAGCCCAGCACAGCTCAAACCTGGGCCCAGCCATGACGTCCATGAGATTTGATGCATTTTGCTTGTTACCAAAATTGTTTTGCATTTTCCTTCACGCTCTCACATTGAGAGGCAATCCCAAATGGAAAGTGAAAAAATAAGAATGGAGCAAGGACTATCCCATTGCCTTGGTCTTTGGCCATGATTCGGTGTGAAAGTCATCAAATATTTAATGCACAAGTGCGAAATCGCATTCCAATTGGCAGCTGCTTGCTTATGCATGAGCCAAAATTGATTTGGATGGCCCAGACCTTTGGGTGTTCAAAGGAGCCATTCAGACTGGGCCATCGATGCAAATGGTTTAAAGAGTCCATCAAATCATACATAGCTGGGATTGTAACTTGTATCTCGGTAGATGGATAGACAATTGGTCTATGAGTAAGTGGTCGTCTACTTTTTATCGCCTAATGAATGAATTTATTTCTAAGGTGGCGTGTGGTTCCTTATCAGAATACGAGTATCATAAATTTCTGTTGTAGTAGCAGAGCACACGTGTGCGTAAAATATGATTACAAATTGCGAAAATCATTCATCGATTCAGGGGATTTTTTCTACTCGTAATCGAATGATATTCATTAAATAATTTTAATTTATTTATTATTGATTTGTGTTTATTTATTGTTTTTTTTAGGTTTGCTTGTGTTTTAGCATTGCCTGAGTTTGGACTCAGACTATACCCTAGTTACATATACCACAAAGTGGATGAAAGATTCCGTTATAGACCAAAAACTGAACTGCATCTGGAATTTCGAAGAAATTTCGTAGACAGCTCTGCAGCTTGGTTATTTTTTTGTTCAGCTCAATCATGGACTCCGAATTGGTTAAAATGGTTCTCATAGTTTTCTTCTCACAGGATTTTGGGAGACTTGCAAAGTTTTTGAAGGCAACTTTATGGCAGGTCCCTTGCCACAACAAACTATTCATAACAAGTTGTACGTATAAAAATTACAAGGAGTTGGGGCGGGTAGGGCGATGGCGTGGCGTGGCGTGGCGGGGCTTCGTTCTGGTTCTGGTAGGCGGCGGCAACTTCATCATTTTTCTTAATAAACGGAAAATATACCAAGGAAATACCGAAAATATCTCACAAGTTTCAGTTCAGTTTGCTGTTTGCCATTTCCGTCGAGAAACTTTGCGCTGCAGTTGTCGGCTGGCTGGCTAAAGGGGCAAAAATATGTCTGTCCGGAAGTCGGGGGATGGGAATATTGGACAGAAACATATTTATGGGATATATTAAATAACCCAAGGGGGCGGCCCTTCCAAACCCGGCGCTGCATTGCGTGGTGATTTATGTCTGGAGACGGTCTTGGCTGCTGTTGCTTCTGCTGCTGCTCCTGCTTCTTGCCATAAATTGCCGCTTAGCATTATAACTCAATTAGCTGGCTGGCACGTTGCGTATACGCCAGGTTGCACCACCGGAAGTCAGCCAGTGCCAGCGCGGTGGCAGGAAAAGCAGCAACAGTTACACTTACAACTGTTCAACTCTACAGCTGTAAATTATGCAATCCCTAATTAATGTCAGTGCGGCTGTGGGCCTGAAACTGGGCCACTGCCACTGCCACTTCACTAGATAGTCTGTGGTTGTGACTGTGGCTGTTCTTGGCGGTCATTGTGGTGGTGTCGCCCCTCTCGATGTGTGTTTGTTGTGTGGCTAATGAATCGCCTGCCACGAATCGGCTTGTGACCTGCCTAGTTGCAATTAGCGTAGACTTACGTTTGACTTAACCGATTTGTCATCGCTGCTGAGGTGTGAAAAGTACTCGCACTCATAGTAAGGAGCACGGGACATGTGGCAGACTTTGGGGCGTATGCGTAATGCCGTGATGCCTTTTGCCGTTGATTGTGCGCTCCGTGTGTTCGCAGTGGAGGGTGAATGTGGGGCTTGAAATGTATTTCTGTTGAATTTGCTTCACTCCGAAGATGTCTAAGACTTAAAGCTCCTGTACGAATGCTTCAGTTTTGAAGAGTTTCAAAGTCTGGTGTCCCTTCAATGATAGCAGCATAGAAACTAACATACATACATACAAGAGAACATACATATTTGAGGAAAAACCAGAATGAACAAGGGCAAAGCTTCCCTTCCCCCGAGAGAGAGAGAATGCCACGTCAGTAAAACGGCAACATCCGTTGCCATTTCTTTCATTTCCAAGAAATGGAAATGCTTCCGCCTGTCGCTGGGCAAGGATTTGCAAGGACCTCCTCCACTCGACAGGAAACTTATTAGTTATACATTGAACTATCCTCAGCTGCTTCGTTATGATATTTATTTGGTTTCCTTTGCCAAATGGATACGTACTCTTAAGTACTATTTCGATGTGGCAGCCAGCCAGCCAGCGATTTTCTGCACAGAAATTGACATAGTAAAAGGGATAAATACTGTAGTGAGCTGCGTTTAATTTATTCAGTTCCATTAGTGAGTGATTCGAAATTTGATCAAATAAATATTTTCGATTGGATATCCCATCCGTTATCAGTCCAGATCCAACGATGGCTCCACCGTTGGATCATCGGCAAACGAATGAATGATGTTCTCATGAATTAGGACTGAAAATATTAGGAATAGAACGTATAGGCCCATCGAGAATATTCCCATGGAGCGGCGGGCAAAAAAGTCCAGCGTTGAGGTCCACAGCAGCGTGGCAAAGAGACCTAGATTGAGGAAAATGTACGCATTGGTTCCATACTGTCCTGTCTGCTCCTCGATGGTCACCTCCATGCCAATTTTTAATTTGGCATACATAACAGCGCCCGTGGCCAGGAGCACGTCTAAGGAGGGAGCAGCAAAATAAGCTCAGTAAACTATTCGGCAACAAAGGCTGCAGGACTCACTGAAGAAGGGACCTCCGATGGCTGCCGCATAGGCCATCTTCTCATAGCCCTGATAGGCCATGGCCGTGTTGGCCACCAGATCCCCCAAGGCCTGAGTAATGGCGTTGACTGTGACGCCCATAAAGTCCTCGTCTATGTTCAATATGTTGCCCACCACGCCCAGCAGCTTGTCGATCTCCGACGCACAGACGAAAATCAGGAAGGTGGAGCCAGTCAGGTTCATGATCGTGTACAGCTGAAGGACAGTTTGAACCAGCAAATAGATTACCTATCACCCGGAAAGTGGACCACTCAGCACTCGGCACTCACCCAGTGGTAGGCGGGCGGCACATCCGTCCGGGAATGTACAAAGATCGCAAAGGCCACGGGTACGGTGACGGCACAGGAATACAACCCGTAAGAGTATGTTTTTCCCAGTTCCAAGTACCAAAATTTCTTCTTATCGGAGCCGAGCAGCGCTGCAAGACGTAAAAGTGCACAACAGACTCCACAACAAGTTCCCGCGCACTCACCTGTGGAGACGACAATGGTGATGCCCGGATTCAGGAACGTGTGAATGCAGTTGAGCAGCTTGCTCCAGCCGTGTTTCTCCAGTTCATGGTCCACGAGGGGTATGTAGGCGGCGCACACAAACTTCGCCGGAGCCATGGCCAGCAGAAAGGCGCGCCCAAACATGTTTTCCTCCCGCCATTCCTCGGCATCGATGGGATTCAGAGTCTTTAGGAAATCCGTCAAGAGCCCTTTGTTCCGGCCAGCCGTTAGGTTATAAAAAACACTCTTGGTGGCATGTGGGTTAACGCTGATGCGCACCCGCGAAGCACGCTTGGTGGCGTAGGAGGGTTTATCGCGGACGGGGTTGAGAACCGAGACTCGAATCCTACTGTCAGGCCTCTCCAATATCTCGACCATTGCATCCTCGGCATATTCTGCGTATTGCTCCTCCAGTTTTTCCCGTTTCATTCTGACCTCCACCGTCAGTGGCTGATCCCGCAGTTCGGCTATTTGGCGTTCCAGTACTACCAAAAACAGAATAGAATAGAGGAATATCCACGGGATATCATATCTGCTATGGCACTCACCGATCATGGCTTTTCGCATTAGATACACGTCCACGATGTTCACTATAATGTAGCATATGTAGACCACAACTAACACTGACATGAAGGAGAGGCACTTATATCAGATATCCCATATAGAGATATAGAGGAGGATCCTAGCGAGACTTACGAAAGCATTCGTTCATGGTAACAGCACCGTGGGAGGCCATTACATACTCCAGCAGGGCCACTCCCAGTATAAAGAACAGTATATCGCGCACCGTGCTATGGGTATTCATTTTAAAGGGACTGATATAGCAGATCATGCCGCCGGTGAACATCGACACAAACAGGGCCATTGCCAGGGAATTGGCGAACACTGGCACTTCCTCATTAACGGCCGCCAAATTGGCGGCCAGATCCGGTGAGGTGTTGCCAAATGCCAGCAGGGTGACACCCGCCAAATGCTCGTTCATATGCATCATCTGGGAGATGACCTTCAGGGCTGGACTGTAGCTAAAGGGAGATAGATAGTCGGGTATGCGCGCATCGTTGCACCGACAGGCCATGTCAACTTACTACATATCCACCACATGGGTCAGGCACATCAGCAGCTGCAGGCAGAGTGCCACAAACATTGTGAGGTAGACCAGTTCCTGGAACTGATTCCTGCACTTCAGGTCGCACGCCAGCATCCGCATGTAGGGCACAAATATGGTTTCGGTAATGCAGTCCGTGGCATTCAACACAAATTCGCATCTCTCGTCGTAGGGGAAGTTCGCCGCAACGTAGCAGCTGACCTTGTCCCAGAACTGATTGAATTCCTTGTCCATTGCGTTATCCTCCAGCTGATCTGCCATTGTGAAAAGTGTGCAAGTGTGTGCTCGCCGAGGGTGAAAGTGAAACAAAGTTCAAAAGCGACATTAATCTGACACTTTTATTTGCTTTATTTTTGGAGCGATTTCATTCAGTTGTCCGAGCAGCACAAATTCAAATTAGGCTTCCGTTGAATCCACAAACATGTGTCAAAAGTCAACAAATTCTGTTACCGCGTTAAAGTAAATCCCAAGTCAATGATTTGCGAACCATTCGTGCCCGCTAAAATGGTCAGTCTGGTGCCGCTACAGTCGTCGTCGGTCGTGTCTAAAAATACCAATCTGCAGACTTCTCCGGCTTTCGCCTTGGACGTTCTGCCGGCAGTACCCCCGGTATCAATGTTCCTTTCGATTCGCAACGACCTGAACAGTGGCCTGCGGCAACTGATGGAGTTTTTGACGGCCTGGGTCCTTGAGTTCCTTCGACCGAATCGATACATTACCTACAAGGAGGTGCCGCCGTCGCTCATCTGCGCATCTCAGCTCGAACGTGTGCCGCGAAAGACATTAATACTGGATCTGGACGAGACGCTGCTGCACTCCTGCTACATTGATCCGGAGACCAAGGAGTATGTGGGCGGTAGCCAAGTGCCGGTCAGCGCAGTTCCCGACTACAATCTCCAGCTGATGATCGATGGCATTGAGCCGATTCTGTTCCGGGTTTACAAGCGGCCACATGTCGACCTGTTTCTCGACCATGTGTCCAAGTGGTATGACCTGGCCATCTATACGGCCAGTGTGGAGGCGTATGCCACACGGGTGGTGGACTTACTGGATGCCGGACGGGGCATACTGCATCGGCGCTACTATCGGCAGCACTGCCGCTCCAATACCTCCATCGTGAGCAAGGATCTCACGCTGGTCAATCGGGATATGAGCAAGACCTTTATCATCGACAATACGCCCAATGCGTATCGTGATTTTCCCCACAACGCCATTCCGATCAAGTCGTTCATCTACGATCCCAACGACACGGAGCTGCTGAAGCTGCTGCCATTCCTCGATGCCCTGCGCTTTACCAAGGATGTCCGGTCGGTTCTTCGTCGGCGTGTACTGAATTAAGTTTTCACAAATAATTGCACAATTGAACATTAAAGTCCGAAATAAATGCTGCCAGATATTAACCGCTCTGAAGGATGCTATGCCCATAAAAAATGAAGGGCCACGCAAACACATGACCTATCTGTGACCCATAAATATTTTCGAAACTCAAGGACTGGTAAGCTATCGACCGGAAACACTGTAGAGGAAAACCGCATTAGAAACCAAATTTGAATCATAATTGCTTTGTACTTCACTACAAGTATTTGTGATTGTTTTAATTAAAATGTCTGTCTATTCTGCTGCTAATTAAATGAATTTTCGTTCCCTCTTTAATCTGTGCAGAACCTTTTTAAGCAACAACAGAGAGCAGTAGCAACAGCATCTGGGGTGCCTTTGCACAAATGCATTTTATTGCTCGGCGTACGGCATGTGGGTTGACTCTTTCAACGCCACGTACTCGTGCACGTGCAAGTACAATGAGTCTAAAAGAAATGGCAGTATGGTACATATGTAGCTTATATCATATCTGTATAATCAAGACTGGAAGCAAGTGTGGAATCACTCCGTAATATGCCGAATAATATGCCACAGTGTTGCAGTCTATCTAAAGAGCTTTCGATTAAGGGGTGTCTAGTAGTCTAGCATGTGTGGACATAGCCCTTCTTCCTTGTTTTTGCTTGGGTGTGTGCATGCCGAAGTTTGTGGCATGCCAGCAGCATGCAAATGCAAAAGCGTAATGATGTTGCGGCTTTTTGACTTTACACCGCCACAGAGAAAGCCGCAGCACTGAGCCACCTGATGCGATGCCTGCTCCTGTCCCTGCCCCTCTGCCCCTGCCCCTGCCACTCACGCTTGTCGCGTCCCTTACTCAACGCTAAAAGTTTCAAAAGTTTAAATTGAATTCTTAATTATTGCGCACACGGGGTGCACGGTAGGTAGGTAGGTGGGTTATGGGAATTATTTTGGCCTGACCAAAATGCTTAGATAATAAAATTTCTATCCAGCAAATTGTCAAATGGTTTCCATGCATGGAGCATATGGATAGTAATTGCATTTTTTGGCTTCACCGTATTTTTAGGATCAAAGAGATTCATGTACGGGGGACAGTCTGATTTATGGGACTGAAGCTCAACAAATTTTGATTTGTAGCGCCATAAAATGTTTCGGCTAGCAGAGACAATCCAAAATAACAAACAAACAAAAAATGCCATGAAATGCCAGACATGGTTATTGAAATCCAACAGATAGCTTGGCAGTGGCAGTGGCAGTGGCAGAGGCAGTCAACGGTGCGTATGAGCAATCAGTCAACCAGTCAGTGAGTCAGTCAGTTAGCTACTGATATCTGCGTTTATGCTTGGCCTAGTGTAAATTTCACGTAGCATCATTCGAAAGTATGCTTTAAAAATCGTGAATATATTTTTTGCTTGCATTTTCCAGGTTTTCTTTGTTTTAGCATTCTTCGAGTATTTCTCTTTCCATTTCACAGCTGTGCTCCTCCTGGGGGATTAATTATCATTATGAGTTGTTACGTTTTTAGGTCTGTTTGCATGGAGTTCATTTTGCTTACTCAGTCAGTAATTGTAACAAGTCGAGAAAAAGCGATTCGCAAATTAGGTTTCTGCATTTCAAATGAATCTCTGTGGTTTTTCGCTTCTGTCAAAATACACAAACCGCACCAGAATCGAGTGTTAACAGACAAGGGTACGAATCTTTGAGTTCAGAGTTCAGAGTCCAGAGCCAGATGAAGAGTCTAGGGTAGAGGCAGAGTCAGGGGCATTTTGGCAGTTGATTGCTTCCTGTGATTTTTGGAACCACAACCAAAGCCAATTAACAATGCAAATGGTTGCCATGGCGATGGGGGCGGCGTTCAGAAAGACGCTGGCAACTAAGTGAATTCGTTCCGTTTCCGAAGTTCACTTTAAGCCACGAGAAAATCCCCTCTGTAGTAGGAGTCGGAGTCCGAGTTGGAATCGTCGGCTTAAGCTGCACATAAATCTTGCATTGAATGGGTTAAGTGAAATGGCATGCAGAACTTTCACCTGTTCTGCCATAAATTTCTATTTTCCCTTTTGGCAGCCTGCAGCCAGTCAATTTTGGCTTAAAAACGCTCGACAACGACGATTGCCGGCTTGGGTGGGTTGAGAATGAAAATGGGCTGAAGGATTGACTGGCTGGTTGCCATGTCAGCCAGCCACTCTTTGGCTTGTTTAAGCCATTGCAAATTAGACAATAAATTGTATCCACTGCAAATGGCAGGGAAATAAATGCCTTTAAGCGCGATTTAACTGAATGAAAGACTCGACGACTTGCTGTTCTTGGCTTACGCTTTATTATGCTTACTTATTGATTGCCTGGAATAGCTCTAGCCGAGGGAACTCAGCGGGAAGCCCGCTTGGGTAACCACTTGGTTGATCCAGTCCCTCAGGTGGGCCACATTCGTGTAGGCCGCTGGAAAGTCCTTCTCGGCGCACTCAATGCCCCAGGAGACGATGCCAGCCAGCTGGTAGCGATCAGTTTGGCCGGGCATCGAGCAGAAAAGCGGCGATCCGCCATCGCCCTTGCAGGTGTCCTTGCCCTCGACGCCGCCGGCACAGAGGAAGCTGTCGTGGAGGCGAAAGCGTCGGCCCAGAATCGTGCGGCGCAGCAAGCGCTGACAGTTCTCGTGCTCCACCACCGGCAGCTCGATGCGCTTCAGTAGGTGCACCATGCTCTTGTCTGAGCTGTTGCTTTGGCCCCAGCCGGTGGCCAGGCAGTGGGCCCGACGAATGTCCTCCTGCACCTGCGTCGTCTCCACGGGAGGCAAGCAGATGGGCTGGATGTGGGGGGCAAGCTTGAAGGGCCGCTCCAGCACCAGAAGAGCCATGTCGTTGTAAAAGTTCAGATTGTTGAATGCCTCGTGGCGGTGCAGCTGGCTAATCCGACGCATCTGGTAGGGATGCGGCTCCCGCTGACTGTTCAGGTCCCAGTCGCCGGCGCGGGCCAGCAGCGAGTCCTCGCTGTAGTTGGCCACATTATGGGCGCTGGTCAGCACCAGCTGAGAATGGATCAGAGAGCCGCCGCATATATAGTTGCCCTCCATGTCCATCAGTGCCACCATCCAGGGGAACTCGGCAAAAGTGGACTCGCTGTCGTTGTAGCCTTCCAGCTGGTAGTACAGACCCTTGGGATTGCTGTACCCACATCCCCTGTAGGTGAACTCCTCCAGGTTTTGCTGCATGCGACTCTGACCCTCATCGGTCTGGGAATGGAGAGACGTTAGAGCCACACCGATACCTGTACCCACTCTCACCTGCTCGTTCTCGTGACAGCAAATCTCCACCGAACGACAGCCAAAGTTGCTCGCCTCGTTGATCCGCGCCGTGATCACGTAGCGGCCATCCTGGTTCACGGTCCCCGTGGTGCACAAGTGCCGGGGCACGCACAGCCGTTGCTCGCCGCAGCTCTTGTAGTCCTCCTGCTCTGACTCTATCACCGGCTCTGACTCTCTGTGTTTGGCTATAGCAGTCTCTGTCGTCGTTGCTGCCGTTGTTCCCACCCATTGGGTTCCCTTCCTCTGGTTGCGGTACTCGATTTCGGCCTCCTCTGCGTAAAAGTTCTCCAGCTGCACCTTCTCGCAGCAAATCAATCCGTGGCCACAGCTCCGGTCCAGAATGCGAGTACCGAGCAGGCCCCGGCCGGAGTCATCCGTCTTGTCGCACAGCTTTTTGGCTATGCAAATCTCGAGATCGGAACAGCTGCGCTGTGTCGAGCCATCGGGTAAAAAAGAGAACAGGGAGAGCAGCACTACCAACAGCTCAGCACTCATCGCGATCTGTGAGAGAGATACACAGACAGAGAGAGAGAGCGAGAGAGGGTGATAGAGGCTGCAGGTGGGGGAAAACCAGTCACTGATTTTCATTCATTTCAAATTACGTGTTGCTTATACGCCATGTGTGCCCCTTGAAGCCATGGGCAAGTTCCCCAAATCAATTACAAAATACAAAAAATTGGTATTTCCCACTCACACACCTTTTTTTTTCCTAAATAATCCAATTTTGATCAGCTCAATGCGCAATTGCGCTTGAGTTAAAATCGTTTTGAAGGCACGGTGCGAATACGACTAAATTATAAGACGGAACAATCGACGATCTTATGGGCTCAACGAACTGATACTGACTCGGATGCCAGACACAGTGGAGCTCTCATCTGAAACAGTAACTGAGAACCTTTGAGAACAGAGTGCGACTGCTGACTGCTCAACCGATTCGAAACTATTTCGCTTAATCAACAGCTGATCTCTCTCTCAATCACTCTGGGAATATTCGTCATTTCAAGCCGGTTCTACTTATAAATTGTCTAACGTTTAGCTCAAATGTTTTAGTTGACTTTTTACTAGCGACCAGCAGCAAGTTTGTCTTGAGATCTGCGGCAAGTTTTAACTCTATATACTTGCTCATACATATGTAAGTATGCAAGAGTGTTTGTATGCACAAACGTGCATCGATTTCTGGATATAGATGTGTATATATATATATAGTATAGTAATGTTCGTTCGAGTTGTGGCTGCGCCATGTCATGATAAATCAATTCCAACGAATTCTACGTATTGCCACAGTTTTACTGTTGGTTCCCATTTCAAAAACAAACAAAATTATAAAGATGTAGGTTTGTTGGGATCATAGAATGATCATCGGTTGGCACTAATTCTGAGAAAAAAATGTGTGTTTGTTTGTTTGTGTGTGTGTGTGTGTGTACGATCGATCCATTATAGTCGTTGGCATGAAATATGATTGATTACTGATAACCTCTCGTGCAGATAAGCCGTGTTATCTGCCAGCTACATTTGACTGTAAGGTTCGGCATTGGACAGTGCAGTCGGTTCCCCCATCGCTGCTGTGCATGTATAGTATTGCATTTATTTTTTAGAAGCAGCCACGATGAGCGGCACAACGAGCAGAGGCCGCTGGTTCTGGATGGCCATGGCTGCCCTTGCCCTGGTGACGAACGCACAGGATACGGTGTCGCCAATGTGCCGTGATGACGAGCTCTGCACCACAGTCGAACACTGTAAGGAGACGGACGACTCTGGCAGAAAGGGAATCTCACCGCGCATTGGCCGCTTTTGCGGCACGGGCCAGATGTGCTGCGAACGCCTTCAGCTGGAGAGCTGGAATGCCTCGATGGCCGAGGGGGTGGAGCGACAGCAGAGGACAAACCAAAGGGTGGCCGTGTCTGCGATAAGGGACACGAATGGCAATGTGCTGGAGCCGGAACCGAACGAGAGCTGCGGCATGAACATGGAGTGTGTGCCGCGGAAACTGTGCCGCGACAATATCATCATCGACGACGGACGCAACATTATCAATCCCAGGATCGGCATGGGGCAGTGCACTCGGTCCCTGCATCGCTGCTGTGCGCTGGACCAGAAGGTGAGGCTCTCCTTTGCCAACTGATCGATTCGTTTGCTAACTTCCTCTCAACTTCCAGGTGGAGGCCAGCCAGAGTCCGTATGTGGTGAAGCTGAGCGGATTCAAGTACAAAAGCTGTGGCTGGAGCAACCCGCAGGGCCTCATACCCGACAAGGACAAGTACAACTACACGGAGGACGTGTCCATTTTCGGACAGTTCCCCTGGACGGTGGCCATCTTCACGGGTCGCCAGCAGTTTCTGTGCGGGGGCACGCTCATCCATCCCCAGCTGGTCCTCACCAGCTCCCACAACATCGTGAATGAGACGGTGGACACTCTGATGGCCCGGGCGGGCGACTGGGATCTGAACAGTCTGGACGAACCGTACGAGCATCAGGGGCGGCGCATCAAGCAGATCATCATGCATCCTGAGTTTGATCCGGAGGCACTGTTCAACGATATTGCCCTGCTGGTCCTTGACGAGCCCATTCAGCTGGCACCCCACATCCAGCCCCTCTGCCTACCGCCCCCGGAGTCGCCACAGGTTTGGGGCGACCTGTTATCGGCCACCTGCTATGCCACCGGCTGGGGAACCAAGGATCCTAGCAGCGGCAGTCTGGAGCGCGTGCTCAAGCGCATCCAGCTGCCGCTGGTGGAGCACGACGAGTGCCAGGCTATGCTGAGGAATACTCGTCTAGAAAAGCGCTTTCGGCTGCGGCCGAGCTTCCTCTGTGCCGGCGGCGACGAGGGCAAGGACACCTGCAAGGGCGACGGCGGATCGCCGCTTTTCTGCTCGATGCCCGGCCAAACGGATCGCTACCAGATGGCTGGCATCGTCTCCTGGGGCATTGAGTGCGCCGAGGCTGATATTCCGTCAGTGTATGCGAATGTGCCATATCTACGTCCCTGGATCGATGAGCAAATCAAAGCACTCGGCCTACAGTTGAGTGGGCCATGAGGAGTCCTCTCCTTGCGTTTAATCTGAGCTTCAATTATGTGGATTCAAATAAAGAAATAGAAGGTATTGAATGGAATTAAAATGAGTTGATAGATCCATAGCCATCATAAATAAAAATATGGGTGTATACCTGTTATGAGAGGATATCAAGTGGCTCCCAGTCGTCCGACCGTATGTAATGGAGCGTAATGGAGTGGCAAAAGCAGCTTCATGCTGACAGCTTATAAATACTCAAAATTTAGACGGGCATATTGTAGAACCCCAGCTTCCTCGATTCCCACTCTTCAGGAAATGAACTTAAGTAGGACGCAGGCAAGACGCGACCGGGAAAATGAAACTACAGCAGCATCTGGGAAGCATGGAGAGGCAGTGCACAAAATTGAGAAATTACACTCTACACTGCCAATGGCTGAGAGAATTGATTTTTCTGGGCTGGGCACGCTCCATGGCCGCCTGCCTCCGCCTCCAGCCAACGACTGTTCCTTCTATGGCTTTTCCGCCGCGACTTCGTCTATTTCATTGGCCTGGAGATTGTGCTAAAAACTCATTTCTCAAGTAAATGGTTTGAGCATTTTCCATTGTTTTGTTTTTTCATTTTTGCTGCGAGTATTTATTGGCAATTTTCATGCAACTCGCATTTCGTATTGATTTTGTTCGATTAATTCTACGAATTTCATGCAGGGGAAACTCTGGAAACAATTCTACCATCGATTCTTCCATCATCTGTCGAGTGTTCCATTGTGTTTTCCTTTTTCATTCATGGAACAAATTATACAATTTTCTTATCGCCTGCATTTTATGGCCCGGCCCTCTTATCGCTTACTGACTGGGTGGCATTTAAATCAGTTTGAAGGGATCAAAACAAAGGAAGGTATAATAAAACGGCGACGGTTATTGCTGGCAATCAATGATTTATTGCTGATAATCGTATACGATTAATCGTATCAGTAGGAAATTCCAGTGTGGTCGCGGATCCATTCGAGGTATCCGGTGACGCGGGTAAAGCCTGCGGGCTGGCCGGCCGTGCAGCCAGACCCGTGGCCGAAGGAGGTGATGCCCACGATGCGGTTGCCCTCGTGGAGGACCAGGGGACCGCCGGAGTCACCGTTGCAGGTGGAGTGGCCGCCGTTGGTCGAGATGCAGATGGTGTTGTCGGTAATGTAGTCACTGTTGTAGGAGTTGCGGCAGTCGTTGTTATCCATCACCTGGACATCGACGCAGTTCAGGTACGCGGACATGCCGCTATCGTTGGAGGTGTGGCCCCAGCCGGAGGCCACTGCCCACCAACCGGCGAAGCTGTTGTAGCGGTCATTGAAGCTGGGCAGCTCCACGCGGTTCACCAGCGACCAGAAGTCCACGTGGGGAGTGCGAATCAGGGCGATGTCGTTGTTCAGATAGTCGTTGAAGCCGGAATGGGTGATCATGTTGTCGCGGCTCACCCAGTGGGTGAACTGTGCCTCGTGGCGGAAGCTGGCGCCGTAGTAGATCAGCACATGGTTGGCCTCCCTCGTGCAGTGGGCGGCGGTGAGAATCCAGGTGTTGCCAATGATGGAGCCGCCGCACCAGTATTGGTCGTTGAAGCTCAGACCCACAATATACGGCACCTTGCCCTCGTATGCCGGATACCCGTTGGTAATGCGACCCTGGATCTTTGCCTCGCTTGGCATGTCCCTGACAGGAATGGGCTTGGACACCTCTGTGGGTACGGCACTGGCCACAGCCACAGCCAAAGCAACGAATGCAAACAACAGCTTCATGTTTATCAATCAACTAATGTGGCGCAGCTGTTGCCCCGCCTCTTTTATACGGGTTGGGTTTCTCCTAATCTCTGCGAAAAGTGTCGGCAACAGTTATTACACTCATAAGTTTAAACAATTAATTGATATGTTATCAATTCAAGTTTCCGGCTTCACTACCTGACGGATATACGACCCCTGGGAGCATCACAGGCCCAGCCCCAATCAGGCTTAGCCTTTGGGCCCGAAGATGTCCGTTTGGAAGCCTTTTGTTCCTGCAGCTTCATAGGGCTTATTCTGAATGGGTTTAGTTTCCATTTCCCAAGTTTGTTCAAATCAAATATTTGCCAAATTGATTATCATTTAATTACAATGAAGCATAATGCAGAATGCAAAATGCAAAATGCAGCTGATGGATGCAAATCTGTCCATGCATCCAAGTATCCTCTGCCTCTGTGCCTGCGGGTTTGCGTCAGAGAGATTGTGTTGCATTGTCTGTATGTGTGTGTGTGTGTGCCTGAAATTATAATGCCGCATACCGCAATTGTGTTGCATACTTTGAGGAACAGTATCTTGCCAGCTCTGTCTCTGTCTCTCTCTCGCTCTCTGTATATAGGGGGATGTATAGGGGGATACTCCTCTATGTGGATTTAGTAGAGAGGAAATTAGAGGCTGACTGTGGGGCAGTTGCATGTCTGTGGCCGACCAACGGAAATGGAAACAGCTGCAAATGGCAGCCCACCCCCACAACATTCCCCCATTCAGTCAGTTCTATGTATATGTAAAAAACAGCCAACCACTAATGTTGCACGCACTCACACTGGCTAATTGCAGTGAAGGGTCGGGCCATGTGCAGGCATAACCATGTTATTCCGATACCCTATGGAGACCATTCCCCGGCTCAAGCGCCTGTCCGCCTCCCATAGAACCGAGAATGATCGTTTAGATTATTCACCCCCAGTCAATTCTAAAATTACATGCATCACACCACCCCCCACCCCACCACATCGTTGTCACGCTAATTAACAGGCCGAGAATAAATTACGAACATGGACATTTGCGAAAATCCGAAACGGAAAAAGGTCCTGTCTGCCTGCAGGGAAGGTTGTCCTCTTTGAAACAATTAAATGCATGCCTGTGTGCCAGTTTCAGTTCCAGTTACAGTCCCACGCTGCGTATACGCAATGCACTGCGCGACAAATTAGGTATGCGCCCCATGTGCCCACCTATCACATGGCCATTGCCCATTCAGTTCTCCGCATTTGGCAATTCCATGCGACATGTTGTCAGCGTTTTAGACAATTTGTTATGCAAATTGCTTATTAACTTTATGACCGGCCAGATGTACGAGTATGAATGGATGTATGTATGCCACAGCTGCAGCTCCTCCTGTCCTGCTCAAAACATTTTGAATTGTCAATTAGTTGAGGTATTGCCACGTAGCCATGGTATGGTATGGCCATAACCACTGCCAATTCCCAGAAACCAAATGAAATTTCTGGCATTATTTAAACACTGGCCTTTACCGGCTTATGTCCACTTTATGGCCAGCCACCCATTCACCTGCCACGGATCGCCATTAAACGCCATGATGCCAATGCAGGGATTCGATTTTAATTTATGCCCTGCTCCGATTGCTCCTGCTCCCAGTTGCTCCATTGCTTCTGCTGTCCCCTTACCTGTAGTCCTGCTAATGACATTGGCTCGCTATCGGGTGTGGCCTTTAGTTTAATTGAAAAATTCTCATTTTGTTTTAGCCACTCGGTGTTATTTATGGCACTGGCCACCCAGCGCCCATTGCCCATGGCCCGAAATGATTTGTGTCCTTTCTGTTTAATGATGTTTTCTATTGTTCGCTTGTGGGTATCGGCTGGAAAGCTAAAAATAATTTATAATTCGCTGCCATTAACTGAAGGGTAATGTTTGGAAAGTATTTTAAGTATATTTGCCCACCATTAGTCGGGCAGCGGCGAAGTATAATTTGGAATGCTAAATCGTTTGGAATTCTCTCCAAGCGAATGTGTTTCATAGTTTGTGGTTAGATTTCGCAGTTGACAAGCCCGTGCTCCCCTTAAAACTTACTACTTCCGACCTCTAGTAACAGCAAAATGGGGCAGGGTGCAGAAGCGCAACGGAGAATGCAACAAAGTGGCACAGACCCTAAATGCCTGTGTGAGTGTCTCCCCCTCTCTCTCTCTCTATTTCTCTCTGCCCTACCTCTCTACCTACTTCTCTTTCGTTTGGGGCCTGATGCATTTGGCCACATTTGCAGGTCCTCAGGTAGTCCTGTTGGCCCTTTCTGCCACTTTTGTTGCTTGTTGGTTGTTCTGGGCTGTGGGCTCTGTGCCCTGTGCTTCGCTGTGCCCTGTTCCCTGTGCAGCCGTGTCTTGGACATGAATTACGTTTACCGACAATTAATTTCAAGTGAAAATGTGCTAAAACTTTTAATTGGGCAGCCAAGTGGCTGACGGCGGAGCAGCGAGCGGCAGCAAGGGGATGTGGCAATAAGCAAACTGAATGTGGCAGCCATAAAAATGTCGGCAACATCCCTCGAAAGACATTTCATTCAACCAATTTTCATAGCAGGTGTACATTTGCACGGTAGCTAGAGAACTATTCGTAGCGATCGTAATGCTTGCCCCAAACGAAGAAAATTCAAGATACGCGCCCCACGTCTTTTGGTAGGGTCCGAAAAAGGGTGCCCGGACCCCGGGAGCCCCAGAGCACACGGGAGGACTCAACAGAATTAAATGAGATTTCAGGAGCTTTTCGGGCCTCTTGGGCAGACTGACTTCAAGTCCCATAACAGTTATCCGCCCGCTTCCAAAACAAAAAGACAGTAACGTGGAAATTTCGAACAAAACAACTCGAATCAACAGACAAGAAGACAGACACCCAGTCACATGAGTGCACTGACAGTCGGCTAATTATGTCAATTGCGAGCCGGGGCCCCCGACTCTTTTCAAGCGATTGTCCGTGACAGCTCCGACTCCGGCTTTTTCCATGGGCGTAGCAGGTTCCTGTCAGTCAAATGGGATGGCGATGCAACTGCAAAAGGATGAGCGGCAGGCGGACAGAGAATGAGTGACGTGCAGGCATGACTGTACTTGTATCTCCGCATGGGTCTGAAGGCCGTACGCAATATGCAAATAGCTAAGTTCAATTCACACATGACAATAGATATGCCCGCAGAGAACGAGTGACGGCAAAAAAGGAGGAGACTTGGCATGCTCGTACTGGGTGAGTAGGTCAGGGTCGACTTGCCTTTCCATTAAATGGCTGTATATGGGGCTACGGCTACGGCTACTCAGCCATTTAGTGCACCATTCGACTGACCAAAAATTCTGGTAGATACACTCAAACACGTGGCCGAACGGAAGACAAGCAAACAAGAAGGCGAATTCCAGTATGTTGTAGCTATTTGTTCAGACACACCCACACACATGCAAGCAGATTCCATTCCCATCATGCAAGATGGAAGCCTAAATTGTGCACTTCTACAAATGGACCCAAAAAAAGCAATGGCGGAATGTTCCAAGGAGAAGAATAAATAGGAGATACTCGTACGAAGGAGGACAGTAAATCCACACAGAAAAACAGACAACCAACAGTCAAATAGCAATAACAATTCAATCAAATGTGCCCCGCTTTCATCTATGGAAATCTTCGAATCGAAACCTATGACCTCAGAGGGGGTGGTGAGTGCAGAGTGAGGAAAGAGCTGTGAGTCCTGGGGGCAAAAATGTTTTGATTTAAATTCGTTTCAGTTGCGACTGCAAGCGAGCTTTCGACTCCGACTCTCTTCAGAATTCTCTCTGTGCGACTGCGCATTACAGGCCGTCCCAATCTAACCGTTAGTTATCTGAGAGAGCAGGTCTGGGCATAGAGAGCTAGAGAGAGAGATTTTAGAAGGAGAAATAATCGTACGTGCTATGATTTTCCCCTCTTTACTGTCAGTTTCCCATAGTTATCTGATCTACTAGTTATAGTAGCCAAAAACTGTATAAATTAACCTCAATAAACAATATACAACATAGCCTGAAAACCTGAAAGCCTCCCCGCATAACAAACTCAGCATGAATGCCTACCGGAAGTCAAGGCGTACCAGTCGCAGAGCAGAAATCAAGTTGGAGGTGGCAGTCATAAAATACGATCGCATAATACTCCTCAGTGCCAGGGGAGCAGACCATCGCATCCAGACACTTAGTTTCCTTACTACAGAACGCTACCTGGACATTACCTAAGACCAAAGACTCTCCTCTTTCGTTTTGCTATTATCTTTATTGTTAAAATAAATACAAATTTAGGTGTATTTTTAATGGGGGTATTCATTTAACTCAAGATTACTATTTAGCGAAAGTTTCTCTACATTTGTTCCCTTCCAATAGCCCATCAAGTACCCTCAAATATGTAGTTGAAGGGAGTTGTGGAGTGTCTCGCCCTTCATCCCTTGCACGGGGCACGGGGCATGGGGCAACGCGTGTGCATTTTCACAGCCATTTGAACTTGGAAACATTCGCAAAATGTGCAACATGGCGTAAAGAATTCGTGTTAAGCGCAGCAGTTAGCTTTCGGGTGGAGACTCTGCTTTACTTTACATATGGCGCATGGCACAGCTGTAAGTACAGACATCCTTATACATATAGAACAATTCAGGGAGCGATGAATATTCCTTCTGCGATGAGCTGCCTATGCATTCAAACGGATATTTTCGCTTAATCAGACATGCAGCTACACACATGGCTACAACTGGTTAAACTTTTACAAAACTAAAGGATAACAAAAATGGCAAAAAAGAATCTTCAGATTTCCAAATAGATATGTACTATGTATCGCTATGTTGGAAGCAAAATGCCAGATAATTGAATTGCCAAGAGTCATTCAAAATCAGTGAGAGTGCCATCAATGACATCGAAAGTAACTGGGCTCTCCTGCTCCTGCTCAACTTGTACTGGGAAAGTTGACAGCAAAGCGCACACTTTCACTTTGAAGGCCACACACAAGCAGACATACAGACGAATGCGCTGTGTATGGGCTGTCAATCTCAGTGCAGCGTCCGCTGCTCGCTGATGCGAATAACGGAAATCGGACGCCATATCGGGCGGATGTGTTCGACAATGCCGATCGGAAATGAAACGTATGTAAGCCTGCGATAGCATTGAGTAAAAACAACATGACATATGTACATACATACTAGCTGGATTACAAAATTGACTAGGTAAATACCCGGACCAAACATAATCATCGCCCACAGACGAGGGGGCAGCAGTTTCCGAAATGGTAGAGATGTAACCCCAAGTCGGTACAGAATACAGCAGAATCGATTTTGAATTTGCAGCTAAAATGACAATATTTTTGTGGTACATGGGGGAGTGGTGAGTGGTGAGTGGGGCGGAGCCCAAAGGTCAGAGTGCTGGCTGTGGCTTTCCCGCATGTAAATTCCCATTTGTGTATTTTCGATTTTATCAAATGCATCAAACGAACAACAGGACCAGAGTCACGCATCATACGCAAATGACACAGATGCAATTTTACTTGTGAATACAGTTATAGCTGTAGTTGCAGCTACATTTACAGTTGCAGATGCAGATAGAGATACATCTGCATTGAGTGCACTTTCAGTTTAAGCTGGATTCTGTTTCCAATGCATTTACAATAAACTTGTGCAACCGATTTGCCCAAAACAAAGAAAATAATTGATTGTAATTTGTGTCGGTACCTTATTTACGGAATTTGATTCTAAATAAATGATTTAGATAGAAAGAAACTAGTTCCCTTCTTCTGATTTAGGCATGCTCGGATGCCAATTAATGATATTCCCCCATAACACCTTCAACGCCCAGTTCTGATCTGTCACTTTTCACCGAATATACTCAATGGTACGCCAATTCCCTCGGTCTCTGACTGTCCATCAGCCAGAATCCATGGAGTGTGACATACTCGTATGAGTATAAAAATCTAAGCGTTTCTTCTACACGATTTCCTCCATCTTCCTTTTCCCGTCACAGTCTATTAATTTCAGTAGTGCCATTGCATATCCCAGTCGTAGGGGTCGAGCTTTAACTTTTTGTGCACTGCACTCGGTTTTTGTGAGGGGAAAATTCTAATTTAATCTCCTGCATGCCATAAGTACTCAAAGTTCCACAAAAAAGTGCAATAAATTCGCCTACAGTCTCCGTTTCTTTGGTCAGCATCAGTAGCAAAAAATGTCGAATGGAAAAGCACTAGACGTGTAGCGGGCCATGCACATATGTACATAGAGACTAGGAGATGCCCTGCCCTGTACAGTAGCGAAGGCTTTATACTATTGCATGTTACATGCTCTCCCTTAGATTGGATATGCCTCAGCTTTAGTTTTTCGACCCACATGGGACGGAAAATTCTGGGGTAGCTCCGCTTATACTCCTATTTTCTATGATTTATTTGTTGCATTAGTGAATGTCGCTGGCAGCAGTGGCAGAGCTGTTTCTGGGCGGCCACTTCAGAGTGTCTGAGCCTTGGCCGGCGCCGACCCAAAGGTGCGCCTAAAGGTACAACGCACTCTTCTGTATTATAAATGGCCAGACGCTGTGGGTCTAGCTCTGCCTCTTTCACTGAAGTGCTTAACTTTAGGCCAGCAGAACATTAACAATTCCCTCTCTTTTTATAATGCTATAAAAATGCACAAAGTCGCCGGGGAACAAATAAACAGGGCACAGAGCACAGTGGAACTACGACTACAGTAAACACTGCACTGAGTGAAAGGCAGTTCAGCGAGCCGTGCTAATTGTGTCATTTACATTGGCAAACAAGTGCGAGTGAATAAGTCAGGGGCTCAGACAGATTAACGCGAATGAGCGCATCTCCGGAGCTCTTTGCACAGTGCAAATTAACGACAGCCGGCGACTATTTGCCTTTCTGTAAGGAAACCATTGGCTTTTGGGGTAAAATGTTTTAAATTAAAATTTAAAAAATGCATCTAAAAGAAGTTTTCAGAAGTGGAATTCGAACCCACTCCTACAGCTACCACAGCTCTAAGGAAGAGTCATCTACTATTCGAAATGATATTTACTTACCTTTAGAAAGTTCCACAAAATCAAAGCCATAGGCATGAGCAAGTAATTGCCCACCTCCCGCCATATATGTAATTGTTTGCTCTTCGAATAAAACTAAAAATTGTTTGTATTTATTGAATTATCTCAGTATTTGATACGATCAAAAGTATAATAATGCAATGATACTTATATGTAGAAAAGTTTCTTAAATATTTTGCTTTGCTTGCCACTCATCCAGATATCATAAAAATGTTTTTTATTAACATCGTAGCATTCCATATTTAACACGAACATATCGTTAATGTTAATTATGAAACAATCCACCACTCAAGCACTTTGTAAAAGTTACAAACAAATTGTTTGAATAAAATAAGTTTTTTTTTAAGAAACGCAACGTTTCCCACAAAAAATTGCTAGACGTTCCCCTATGTCGAATATAGTTTAACTAAAAATATGACTAAAGTGTATTCCAAAAACTTCTTGTACATTTAAAATAAGTGGAGTTTTCTTTTTCTTTTACTTTACAGCTTAGGCGTTGTTTTTGTTGTTAGCCCAGTTGGGCTATTTTCTTCATCTTTGTTTGTTTTTTTTGTTTTCTAGTACTAAGTCTTTCATTAGTTGCATTTGAATTTTGAGTTTTCGCTTTTGCTTTCGACAAAATGGATTTCATAAAATACATTTGTTGTGGCCCTTTGCTTTTCTCTAAACTAAATTGAGCTAAAATATATATAACATTTACCGTTTGTAACCTTTTTACCATTTGATTTGTGTGTTTTACAATAGTTTATGGAGGGTTCCACTTTTGCATCATTTTGTGTGTGTGTGTATATGTGTTTCTTGCGTCATAGAAAAGCTTTTTGCCAAGGAAAATGTGTTTAATGTTTTTGTTTTTAGCTGGTTTTTATATATTTTTTATGTTTTTGCATTTTATATATTAATTCATAATCAAGTCGCTTAGGTTTTTGTTTGCTTTTGCTACAATTCATTATTTCAGGATTTCCATACATCGAACTTATAATAAAGAAGTACACTATATATATAAGGTGTATATATATATATATATATATATATGTATATATGCATATAAACATGTATGTGTGTGTGTGTTTATATTTTGTATGTACATAATTAATAGGCAACCACTTAAGCTTACTCTAATGTGTTTCTATAAAAATAAGTATTGTTATGCAAATTGTTTTTGCCACAAAGTGTACTAAAAACCGAAAACTGTACATTACACAATCTTCTCATTCTCATTCATAATTTTCATCAATATAATCATTATCATTATCATAGGCATTCGGTCATCATACATTTTATTTTTTATTCATTGTCAATCTGATCATCAGCATTCTGAGCACCGACACAAAGCATTTGTTACCAAACCTAACCCATCAGCTTCCAGGAATCCCCATTTATTATTTGGCTAAGAACAAGTATAATTCGCAATAACTCTGGCAAAATAAAAGAAAATACAATCGATATACATATACACATATATATATATATATAAACTAAAACCCTCTTTACATGCAGAATTTGACTCGTGTGTCTGGTATAGCTTGTAGATCTTTTGGTTCTTTAGCTAATTTGGTTTTCGGATTTGGTATGCATGCTTATCGTTGTGTCGTTGGTGTCTCTCTGCGTGGGAGTGGTACTAGGCTGGCGTGCGTGCAGTACACAACTCGTTGCAGCTCCTCCACTCGAGTTATCATAATGCTGGTTGTTGTTGTTCTTGTTGTCGTTGCTGTTGCTGCTGGTTGGTATTTAGTACATTGACTTTCATGAGGCGTACATGCGGTTAATATCATGCTGATATCTGTCCTGGATATCCTTGCGCTTCAGTTTAAAGGCAGCCGTCACCAAGCCCATGTCCGGTGACCAGACCTCCTTGCACAGCGTAATGGCGGCGGGCACCTCGAACTTTTGCAATTTGCCTGCAAGCAATACCAATGAAACATTTAGTACATTATTCTCATTCCCGCAGAGATGGGGAACGATGGGCGACTTACATTTCCGCGAATGATCGGCAATCTCCTTGAGTATGGCCTTCTCCATGACTGGCGACGAGCACAGCTCCTCATAGGTTTTGTCCTGCAAGCCGTGACGCTCGGCCAGATCCTCCAGATGCTTCTGATTTGGCACGACCAGCGCGACGGTGAACTGCTTTGTGGGATCGCCATAAACGCAAATGTTCTCCACGATACCGCATGTCTTCAGCTCCGATTCGACCTTGCCAAGAGAAACGTATTCGCCGGCCTGCAGCTTAACCAGATCCTTCTTGCGATCTGCGTAAAGAGAGAGAGAACCACAGAGTATTAAGTGGCTGCTTAAATCGCATTGCATACAGATTAGAGACTTGCCAATTATCTTAAGTACGCCATCGGTTTGCACCTCGCCAATGTCGCCGGTTTTGAACCAGCGTTTGCCATCCTCCTCAAAGAAATCCTCGTTGGTCTTGCCGGGCAGTTTGTAGTAGCCCTGGGACACACAGTCGCCACCGATGAGCACCTCGCCCTGCGGGTATGGCTTGTTGGTGATGCGATAGTTTCCCTCCTCCCAGTTGACCAGACGAATGTCGCAGACGGTCAATGGTCCACCAGTGCGTCCATAGGTCATGTCTCTCTCTATAAAAAGTGGGAAGAGTGGTAAGTAGTCTTCGCGCTCAAAGCGTACAAGAGGCACAGTTTCCCGTTCACTTACCATGCATCACAGTGGCTCCCGATGTGGTCTCTGTCAATCCATAGCCCTGAATCAGGTCCACGCACAGGCAGGTCTTGATCTGTTCGTGTGTGTCCGCCGAGAGCGGCGCACCGCCAGACATTATGATGCGCACCTTGCCGCCCATCAGTTTAGCCACCTTCTTGAAGACCAACCTGCAAGTCAGACGACATATTTAATAGCTGATCATGAATGATCATTGAATATGCGAGGCTTCTTACTTGTCAATGAGGGGCGTCTTGTAGCCTCGCTGTATCCACTTGACTTTGTACTGGTAAAGGAATTTGAAGAGAGCTTTTCTGAAGGCCGAACCGGAATTGACTTTGTCGTTGATGCCCTTGGAGATGCGATCGAGTATCAGTGGCACCGAAGTCATGCATGTGGGCTTCAGGACACTGGCATCGCCCATGCAGCCTCGCCTGATCTTGCTGCTCGTATCGATGAGAGTCAGCGGCGTCGAGTAGCCAATGGAAACGCCAGTCATCAGGCAGAGACTCTCCGCCACCAGTTCGAAGACATGAGCCAGCGGCAGGAAGCCAATCAGCACATCATCCGGATAGATGGGCACCATATCGACGAAGCCCTTCATTGTGGCAATGCAGTTCTTGTGCGACAGCAAAACACCCTTCGGTGTGCCAGTCGATCCGGAAGTGTACATAATAATGGCAATATCATCGCCCTTGGGTGGCACGCTCTCTGTGGGCACAAAAAAATCAATCAGTAAATGTCTCTAGTGCAATATAGAAGGCCTATCCACAGCTGTCACCCAACACAGATATCATAATACAGAAAAATCCTATCAAAATTTTATCGTGTTTAAAAATTTCGTTGTTCCAAAAGATGGCAAACAATTTGGAAGAGTTCATTATACTGACCCCGCTGACATGTGTGGAGCAGTGCAATGCTCTCATGGAGGCCACAACAGCGAAGCCCAAGCCCTGCTACCTATTCATCTCGCTCTTTGGCGTCTACTGTGGGCTGGTTGCCTATCGTTCATATCGCAGCTATTTGGCAAACATTGCGAGATCTCAGGAGCCAGTGCCCAGGCCAGTAGATGTGGTCTCAGCTTTGCCAGCGGCGTTCGTGTCTGAGCTGGGGGAGCTGCCACCCCGACTGATGTTTGAGTCCCTGAGCTTTACAGACAACAGGCACGACATGACAGAAAATGAAAACTTTCCAATTAGTTAATGGCCAAACTTGTTCTCTTTCTTCTGTTTCTTAGCTGGTGCTATTACGGTGAGCTGACTACACCCAGCATGGATCGCGGAAGGACAACTGAGATAAAGGATAATGAACAAGATGCCAACAAGCCATCGACATCAAAATCAGTCATAAAGCTTGGGGCAATTGCACATAAAACTGGTGATGAGAAATAGACAGGGGTATGTCCTGTATTATGGCAGCCTGTCTATCCCATACTAATTTCAACTCTCCCTTTAGAAACGCACCAAATTTGCTTTCCTGTCCTATTTTGACGACCTGGTTGAATGGCAAAATCTTGACGCCCTCCTTAAAGCCAGTGGTCTCCGTCTTGTGCAGCTGGTCCTCCATGTAGATGATGGTGTTCACATTGGGGCACTGGGCCAGCAGGGTCTTGAACTTGGGCAGCAAATCGTGCGAGGTGATAACCGTGGTGACTTCCGTTTCGCTGATGCCTGCCAAAATATAATAATAGTTTTCTTATATTATTACACGAAAATGGTGAAATAAAAAATGGGCCATGTACTCACAGTGGGCCACACCATCGTCTCCCAGGGTGGCGTAGACGGTGACAATGGGCATGGCTTGCTTGAAGCATCCATGGGCGGCCACCATCCACTCGGCACGGGTCTCTGCAAAAATTACAATGTTTTCACGCGGCTGCTGTCCCAGCTCTCGCAGGCCACGCCCAAAGTTGGCCGCCTGCCGCTCCGCCTCGGTGAAGGTCCGCCACTTGTAGTCGCCCATGTTGTACTTCTTGAAGACACGTCCGTTTGGCTGTACCTCGTCCTCCTCGCTGAGGATCTGCCGCGTGCCCAGACAGCGCTTATTCGAGTGCGTCTTGGCCACATAGTTGAAGACCTTCTCCAGGGTGTCGATGTTCTCCTGCAGCATTTTCACGTGCACATCGCGAGGCGGATCCGTGGTCCGGTATGTCAGCTCGTGTTCATCGTTCTTGATAATCTTAGCCTAAAAGAGGAGGAGCATTGATTACTTTTATGTCATCTCAAAGTTTGATGCAAATAAACGCCAGATTGGAAGGAGGCTGCGGGCGGGGAAGTGGGCGATAAACAGGTAGAGAACAGACATGTGAGCTTGAAGGGGGGTGTGGTTGTGAGGTTGAGGTTGCTTTGGTTGGATGGTTTGGGGGCCGTAACAGGGGAGAACATGTTTCTGGGACCAACACCAAAGAGAAGAACTCGCCAAAAAAAGGGGAAACCAACTCTTTGCATGAAAAACCAAATCCTAGGAACATTTATTGTGCATTCTTTTCGTGGTTGTGTGTGGTGTGTGTGTTGATTTGTGTGTATTTATGTGGGGTTGTGCCAGTGTATGTGTGCCATGTATGTGTGTGTGTGTCTGTGTGCACTGTTCCACAACAAATATTATTAATAAAATAAAAACGAATGTGCAAATATTAAAACCTCAATATCATCCGGCGCGTACTTGGACTCATCGACCAACATTTTCTGGTTAATGGGCTTTGCCTGTAGGAGGGAAGGAAGGATACAACGAGTAATACAATATATGTATGTATGTATGTATTTGCGTTGCTTGTGCCCAAGCCAGTGTTGCCTGTAATGATGTCTTACTATATTTGTAGATTTACACGTTCATTCCTATTCGGCAACTTTTTTACCTTACTTTTTGTATACTCTATTTACGGCACACGCAATTGTGACCATAACCATAGAGCCCCATAAACCTTATCAGGCAGGCTCTAAGCCAGACACAAATTCATTTCATTTAGATAGGGAAACATCAAATGTAGAAGCGCATATAGGGACTACCCTGGGAAGTAATCCATCAGAAATTTGGCATAAGGACATAAGACTCTCTCTCTCTCATTCTCTGGCAATGTGGCCACATATAGCATGTTGCCTCCACCTGCTCCTTCCATCGTTTATCAAATTTCCGCTGCATGGCTTGGCTTATCAGGAGGAGGAGGGCATCGCCTGCAACCATCGTGTATGGCGTAACAACAGGTTCAATTATCAAAAACAGCTATGATTTGATGTCCGCGAGCAAGGAAACAAACCTCTACCTCTACGCCTAATTGTCGCATACAAAATCGAATGAATCTCTGATAAAAAGCAAAACTACAACAACGAACAAGAGATAATGAACAGCGGACCGGGTCAATAAATCAAAAGTCACCGTGCATATAGTAGATAAGGGGAAATGTAGAGAGAGAGAGAGAGAGAGAGATAGCAAAAGCAGAGACAGAAATAGGAATAGAAATAGAGGTGGAGGTAGATTTAGAGGCAAAGGCAGATAGAGCGAAAGAGAGAGAGAGAGAGCGTTTGCTAATCGCTCATCGTGCACAAGGGATTGCGTGACGTGAAGTAACATGAAAATAAACTGATAGTAAAGCGTGCAGTTTTATTTCCTAAAAACTATATAAGCAAGTACATGTACTCCGATCAGAACTAAGCCAGGGCGCTCTTAGTATCTGTCTGTCTGTGTACTTTGGAGCGGCGGCAAAGGGGGCAAAGTCGAAAGTATTTCAAAGCGATTCTAGAGATACTAGTTACAGCGACGATTGTCTGATTAAATACGGTTGCAGGGAATGGAATGGTCGCGTGATCCCTTGCCATCAAAGTAGTGCCCACTCTGTACTCACCTTCACTCGTCGCGAGTCCTGTCGGCGTGTCCATGGCTTTTGCAGGACCAAGTAGACCGGCAGGGTGATGATATCGTACACGAAAGCGATCGCCTTGATCGCCCCAATTGCGCTCTGCACCCAGAAGCTGTCCATTCTGGAAGAGTAATTGAAATACACAAATTAGATACAAATTAGTTGCAGCTGCATCTTAATTGATATGCAAATTTTATTCTAGTGCCAAGAACTATCAAATTTTTTTCCCCACATTACGTATACGCAATACTTTGGAGCCCTTCTCCAGTGCCCACCAAGCAACCCACCCACTCGTTGTAGCACCGTCGCCAGCCGAAAACAAACTGATATCACCTGCTGCCACTGTTGGCAAATCTTGAGTCCGAATGTAGGAAAATCGGAAAAAGGGGTTCGCTCGCTCGCACTCTCACGCCGCTCACTCACTTGATCACCCCCCTACTCACTCAGCTCTCAGCTCGACGGCGTGCTCAGAAAACGCTTTTCGAAAAGGCGATAACATTTGGAGAGCGTTCAGATTGGTTCAGCTTTTTATCAGCCGGAGATTGCTAAGCCAAAAGGCACCGAAGAACGTGTCGGAAACTGTCTCACAAGTATGTCTCTTAATGTAACGGAGTGGTGGGTGGGTTGGTTGACATGCATTTCTGCTGGCTGCTCTTTTTTTGTATCTACGGCAGAGCCCTCTCTCTCTTTCTCTCTCCATGCACGGTTATCCAGGTCTGCTTTCTTATCAAAACCCATTGGTATTTAGAACTACTTCCAACTACAATGGTTGCCATCTGCTTTATAATATGTCACAAAAATCAAGTGCGTTTCGATCACAACCACCTTTTAATTATACGACCTACTCTATGGCGGCGCATGCTAGGGAACTATGATCTTTATTGTATGCCATATTTCTTGCTCAAGAAAGCTCTCTGGAAAAATTTGATTAACTTATGGCATTCTTTTTTTTAAGATATTAATAATTATATTAACTAACTTTCAGTTAGCGATCAGTTTCATTTTTAAACATACTTATCAATTTGATTAATTTTGGACTTATCTGCACCCAGAAATAGCGAAAATTTGCCCACAAATTAAGACAATTTCCGGAGGAATTATTTTTTTACTCTATCTTCTATATCACTATCTCGACTTCGTTTAGTCGGGGCTGTCGTCGCGGCCCAGTGCCACCTTTTGGCAACTCAAGAGATTATAACCGCTCGCGCACTTGCGCCGCTCAGAAATCCTCAAGGATTGCTTCATTTTTGCTTCTCTTATTGATACTCCTCGAGTATTAACACATATCCCGACCATAGTTAGAAAAAATAATCAAATAATTTTAACATTGGAATAATTGGAAACCGCAGTTTTCACATTTTTTAAATAGAAAGCCAAACGAATCTTTGCCTGGAAACACACGGCACGATTGTTACTAAGCTATACTATAGCTATATGGTATACATATGTATGTACATATATGGGATCGATCGCACTAATGCAAAATACCGTTGAATAATTGATAGCGCGATCATAGGCGAGTGGCCTGATAAGCAAGAATCGTGGAATGAGACTCTCTGTGTCCTTGAACTTGGCTGCATGCGCAACACGGACGTGACGTCAATTTCTCGAGCACGGTGCGCTCGGGGGTCACTGAGTGTCATTGTCGATGACTTTTTTGTGGCGCTTAATTGGTGCTGGAATGGCTGATTTAAGTGATAGTCACGGCTAATTGTTTCAAATGATAAATATGAATACGAAAACAACAATTATTTGAATTGATTTTGTAACCAAAACGCTTGACAAGAGAAAGTATTTTATATATACGAAAGTAAATTCAATCGTTATTATCATATGGAGAAGATAGCTTCGGTTGTCTGTAAGAAATTTTCAATGCAGGTCTTCGAAATTCCAAGATAAATATACAAAAGGAAGAGGAAAAATATGTTAATTTTTAAAGATAATTTAAATTTAGTACATCCAAAACAAAAGCTATACTTCTCATCTGCATAATATTATGAATCCTAATCCTGAGTTTTTAGACCGAAATGAAGTTCTGGTCGAATGATGTTGATTTGCTGTACAAATTTCACATAAACGAAGTGGTATTAGCTTACATTTCATTATTGTTCTTAACATACTAAGACCCATCAACCAAATTACCATCACCAATTGATCTGCCCACTAATGCTGGGGAAACTAACAAGTACATGTACTACAGATAGCCGTATTCAACGAGAAAAACGAGTGAAGCAATCATGAAGGTAAACATAAACGGTATTTACATATGATATGTATGTTGGTATTGGTACTTACTGCGCATCATCTTCGATGAACATCTTGCCGTGTGCTTTCTCTAGTTATTTCTCTTTGTCCGATCTTCGGTATCAGTGGCTGCCCAGAACTGCAGGTGGGAGAAGAGTGCTGCCTCTAACGCACGCACACACAGAGAAACAGCACACACACCCAAAAGATCACTTTTCTCTCTCTCTCGCTCTGTTGCTTTTATGTGGATGGCAACGCCTGGCTTCCACAGGCGGCACGACTAGTGGATTGAAATGACAGACAAAATGACGTAAAGTTTCCTTCGGATGATGTTACTGTAGTTTTTGTATTGCTGTTTTTGCTGTTGTTGTTGATGATGATGTATTTCCCTGGAACCGGAAAGAGCACAGGAATATGCATTTATGAATGTAGTGACAATGAATCAACAAAACAAATTATGGGATACAGAAACTGCATAGCGCAATATACAGAAATAAATATGGAAAAATAAGCAAAAACAATAAAAACTTAAAATCAACCTCAACCTCATGGACAAACAGGGGAAAGGTAGAAATATCATGATCTGCAGATGTAAACATAAATAGTACATAGAAAGCTTTACTTTACGTTCAAGTACAAAAAGGTATCTAATATTTAGTTGAAAATCGTAAAAATATACCATAAACCTATTGTCTTTATATCATAGAAAGTTCTTATTTGTTTCAATTTTTTTTTAATTTTTCATTTGAATGAAACTAATGAAATATTAAACTATAAATACACACATATATTTTATTTATATAAGTTATCAAAAAGCCCCTACTAAAACTTCCATTTGAATTCTATAAATAGATAATAATCATATCCCAATCCCAAGTAGCCTTTCAATTAGTTTCAACCTTAATAAATATTCTAATCAAATCAGAAAACGACAGCAAACCACCAAAGCAAACCAATAAAAAGTTTCTATTACGTTTTGGACTTGTTTTCTTTTTTGGATGGTAGCCAAAAAAAAAAAAAAAAACACGAACGCTGATGATAAGACAATAAAGAAACAAATTATAGAAAGTATGGAAAAGGCAAAACGAATATCTAGAACGAAAATTAAATTTAGACGGACATTTCTAAAATACGTAAGAGATTGCATAATAGAATTCTCTCAAGAAACACACACCCTATTTCTCTACATCTCTCGCTCTCTCGCTCTCTCTCTCTCTCTCTCTCTCTTGCGGACTCTTTCTTTCTTTCTTTCTTTACTCTCCCTGGTTGTAGAGAAACATTGACATAGGTCGGGGGACCTTCGATCGAATCACAGAAAAGCGCTTTGCCAATTAATTAACAAACAAAATAAACGAAAGTTCTTTGATGTTTTCTGGCAGAGACCAAAGTCCGTTCGGGCATGGCTTATCCGTTCTGCTCTGGAGATTGAACTGGTTCTTTAGAATCTGCCGTTTCTGATAAACAATACTCAATATCCCCACGTGATATTGATACAAAGGTCGTTGATTATGCCAACCATTTGATAAGGGGGAAAAGGGGCATACAAAGTGATCCGAGTATTTCAGTTCAGTTCGTTTCAACTCGGGAGGAATGACGACAATCTTAACGCATCGTGTGGAGTCCGTTGAACCGCACCGCCTTCACATTTAAGCCCAGCTCGAATGAAAACGGTCTCAATACGTGTTTTGTTTGCCAAGAAAGAGAAGTGCCAAAAATCATAAAGTTAAATATATTCGGCATTCAAATATTAGCCATTGGAAGAGGACAAAAAGAAAGAAAGATATGAAAGAGAGATTCTTTATCTTGGCAGAAAAGTAACCAAAAAACACCGAGCACAAATACACGGAGCAACCGTCAGAGTGCAAAGTTGAAGAAGCGCTAAAGTGGCGTGAAAACAGGCGAAAGTCGGTTTTAGCTACGTTTTGTAGGTTAATGCAATCGAATGAAAATGTAAAACTATTCAGTTTGCCATTAATTAAACGCTCCTGTTTTCATGGCCAGAGACTAAACTTTGAGCGCGTTCCCACCGTGCACCAATGTGCACCAACCAATCAAGGGTCGTCCTTGTGTCCGTAAATCATAGATCGTGAAACGCGAATGGCAACCCTGGTCAAAGTTGCAACAAAAACAGAGATCAAGAGAGAGCAAGAGAAAGAGAGTGCTGGTTGGGAGCCGACAATCGCGTGTGGAAAACAAAGGTTAAACCGATATGAGAGGTCTGTCTATCTAAATGTACGAGTATGTACATATGTATGTATATGTAAACGCTGGGGACTAAGACAATAGGGAAATTGTGCACATTAAGCGATGATTACTGTAAGCCGTACTATGATGCTGGATAAGTGATAAAACGAGCAGAGCTCTGAGCAGACTGACTGATTCAATCAGATCTGAATCATGGGCATTCAGGGTTAAGTAACCACACACGCGGCGTATGCGTTATTTCGTACAATGAGAACTTTAATCCCGACACATGTCAAGCAACAAACACTTAAACTAAAAACAGATTTGGAGATTAAAATTGCCATAAGCAAAGTTAAAATTACAAAATTATTTAAAAACGGTTTAGAATTCAAATTGCAGATTTTTGTTAGGATTAACGCAAAACACCGACAAATAATCATTAAATAGCTATTAAGTTTTGGTCAAATTCAGTCTAAATCTAGTTACAGATAATAATCGTAAATAAACAATCACTAGCGATCCATTCTTATCATAATTTGTTATATACTTGAACTTCAATTACTTTGAGATTTCTAATAACACAACGATTACAGATATATCAGCGGCTATTTATGTTTTCCACTGAACCACTTTATGCCATTTATATACAGCATTCCATGGCTATTCCAATATTTACATATACATATTTTAGCTCCGATCGAACGGATTGTCCCGTACTGGTACAATAAAATGTGTCTCATATATTACACATTTTATTCTAAGATTTATTCACATATCGAACTGATTATCCCGTACTCGTACAATCAAATTTGTAATATATGAGGGTGAAACTTATTAATTAAAACTTTTAGCGGCACTTTTCACTGCACTTTCCGCTTTGTATCAATTTTTATTGTTTGCAGCTGCTACTTTTTTGCATAAATTGCACAACAAATTGCAGTTTTCTGAAATCATTCAAGCAGGAAACGTTGTGCTTGACTTGGTGTGTAAATCACACAAAAGATAAATAAGAGTACCACAATTTACACCAAAACCTCGAACTTGAAAATCCGCATTTTTCTACGTTTCTGTTTGGTGGCGTTTACATAAATTTTACATTATTTTCGCTGACCGCAGTGCAAAATACTCAACAACTTCGTTTTCCGCCGTTCCCAAGAACTGACCCGTCAGAAAAACAACAAAACGAAAAAATAAAATAAAAAAAGCAAGCTTCCAAAGTCCAAGATCGCATTTGCTGCTACGGTTCAAAATTCAAGTTTTGTGTCGGACATTACGAAATTGCAATACCATGTCAAAATGCGAGTGTTAATCGTCGTTCTATATAAATTGAACAGGCGTTGTGTTACTCATAGCAATCCAAATATTGCAACAATGTGTATTTATAAACAGAATAAGACCACGTCATCTGCTTACTTGGATTTCATTTCATTATGTTGTAGCTGATGCTCTGGGCGTACAAAGAGTACTCGTTCATAAATTCCTTAAATATATTGGATCTCAGGGACTTAAGAGCTACATAAATCAATTAAATAGAGAAGAAGAGGAATAAGGGATTTAAAGCTCTCTCAATGATGAATCGTCCATTTCTTGGACTACCTGAGAGGGCGTTCAATTCATCCCATCAGCTGTTTCACAATGCCGGGTGGGGAAGGGAGAGTATTCGTTCAGCTGTTTAAGTGTGAAAGCATTTGGAACACAACAAGAAAATCAATTGCGTAAATATTTTGAGTTGCACATATGGGAACAGTGCTCGGTCTCTCTCTCTCTCTCTCTAGATCTCTTTCATTCCTCGTTGACAGTGACTTGAACTTTGGTCAAGGTGCCTGCCTGTTGTAACGGGAAATTATTCATCAGCTGATTGCCTTGACATTGAGAACACAACCCAAAGCCAGCCGACGCCAACGGCACCGCTCTCTTCTGAATTCGTCTCCTCTCAGTCTTTAATTCGCATTATGTGCAAAAATTTAATTGATATGCAACATTTGATTTACTGTCCATGCAAGTGTCGAGAAAGCGCATTACGTCGCTGCATCAGTCCTCTCTCTCTCTTCGGTCTGTTCTCTTTCGCACTGTTCTCTCTGGCGAATAATGGGGTAACGAAATGATCGTATGACTGTGCCAAAGTCCAAAATAAAAATACTTTATTTCACTTGCAGCAACAGCACAGGCAGCAGCAAACAAGCACTACACACATAAAATGAAATGAGAATTACTCAAACGAGATTGAAAAAACAACAAAAACAACAACGACGAGAACTTGCGAGCTTTGCACGGGGCGTTGAATATTTCATTCAATGGAAATGAGCAGAGAAAGAGCAAGAGCAACAAACATGCAAAACAAACAAGCGAGAAAGATCAAAACTGCCGGAGAGAGTCTGTCTGTCCATTTATGTGGGAGAGAGTGTGGGTGTCTCTATGTGTGTGTATATAAATTTGCCCGTCCGTTGGAGGCGAATTTAAAATAAATTTGATTATCGCTCAATGTACAGAACGAACAGAGACAGAGCGAGTGAAAGGGATATTTGGCAAGGTGAGGCATGTTTGTATTCCGTGAGACCGCTCACTGATCATGCCTCGTTTGATATTAATACACCTTGCAAGACAGATTCCTCTCTCTTTTGCACTCGCTCATTTCTTTGACTTTGGCTGAATTTTTGTCTGTTGCGTACGTACGTACGCGTACGAGTATGCATGTTCTGGTGTGTGTGAAAGTAAGGCAACAACATAGAGCTAAAATAAATGACCTAGACAAGCGCCTGCGTCGCGACGCATGTAGTACTTATCTTTAGAGTGAACATCACACACCAAAGCACGTGTTCCAGTGAAATTTTCCACAAGAAGCACCAAACACAAATATAAAATGGAATCGAATCAGCTTTGGCAATGATCGTGAGAGGCAGGCAGCCAGAGCCCGGTTTAATCGAAGCGGTACTGCAAAAACCGGTTAGAAAATCTACCAAAGTCATGACTAAAACAAACACAAGCAATGCTCGTACGATGCACAGGCGTAGACGAGCAGGGGTCTGAATAATGTGCTTTGAAGAACTGTTTCCCATATTATCTCTCGACGTCAGAATCCCCACGCATAAGCCACTGCGCCTCGCTTATCTCCGTTGGACTGTGTGCGGTCCATTCCAACGGTGAAAAATGTCATGTTTTCTAAACCTGCCGCGTACATTAGCCGAAAATAGAATTTTTTAAATTGAAAACAAGTTAAGCATTGAATGGCGTGACAACTAGAAATGGAAACAGGAACCACAACACAATTTTATAGCGACACGGTTTATTCCCCATCGATGCATCTTACATGCAAGTAGCTGACCACGATGGTCGTCTAAAATCATATGCAACGATATACATATGTAATTAACAAACATAGTGCAGGGAAACATTTACAAATGGAATTAACAAGTCCGCGACAGCAGATAGCAGATTCGCAAGCCGAAGCATTAAATACCCTTGCAGATACTGTGCTTTTTTATCATTATATATTGAAGATAGTTTTGGTCTGTTTAGTTTTCTATACTACATGTTTTCTCTCAGAGTTCGAAATTTCTGATACAATTAATCAATACCCTCTGCAAGGGTACCAAAGCCAGAAAGAGGGACAGATGAATAGACAGTAAAAATGGCAGCTGACGATGCGCTGTGCTGTTGCATCGTGAAGAAAAAAATGTAACGGCGAAACTGTTGAAGCCATGGCAAACAGCCCAACCAGGCCGATTACAAAATGTCATTGCAATCTGAAATCCAGTCGGGGGGTGGTGCAAAGTTCGAGGAGGGTCTTGGTCTGCCTTCGGTCGCCCCAGACATCGCGTGACTATTTTTGATACAGCACCCGGCGCGAGCCAGCGAGAGAGAAAGAGAAGAGCAACAAATGCAACGAGCAAATGCGAAAGGCACCAACAAGAGTCACAAGGCAGGGTGAAAGGAATGGGTGGGTAGCCGGGTGGTGAGGCGGTCAGGCAGCTATGGTGGCACGTTTTTCTTTCATTCGATGGCATTTCGTTATACCAGCTGAAAATCGTACGAGTTTCAGGGGAAATGACGCCGCTGCCGCGCCGCTCCCCTCTGGCCTACCTACCCACCCTGTAAAGCTTAAAACAAAGTAAAAGAATATGCGGTGAAGAGAGCAACCAAGAGGAGGTAACTCAGAGAGAGCGAGAGTCGAAGAGAGACAGTCGGTTGCATGCGTGTGCGTCAACTGTACTGTGGAAGAGCGGAGAGAAACGCAGTGTGTTAGTGTGTGTGTGTGTGTGAGCAGGGGAAAATGTTGAAAGGTCAAAGAGCAGATTGTTTACATGAAACCACCTCGTGGGGTGGCGAAATGGCCCGATATGTGGATGGGTGGCTTGGCCATGAATGAAAACTGAGACCGGCAAATTCATTCGACCCACCTCGACTAGACACGGCGAGAAAGTGGACGGAGCTGCCGCAGTTGCTGGGAACATTATTAGGCATTCTTGGAAAAGTTTATTCACATTAACTATGCACAAATTACAAAAAATTAATTCATAAAATAAAATCTTACAACTTCTGGACACAAAAATTATGAAAATTTAATGCGACGTTGATTTACAAAAGCGGAAATGCTCCAGAAATGTACACATACATACATACATATGTACATATGTGTATAAATACATTTCTTATAATACTGGATATCACAGCAGTTTACTCTTATCGATGCACCGCAACAGCTCGTCAATTACGCCTTAATTAAAGTTGCAAAGGGTATAAAATACTCACTAAATTACACTATTGAAATCAGATTACAGTGGAAGTTCGGAAATTAGAACTCCCACAAATTAGAATTGTCCAGAAATTAGGACCGGCCATTTTAATGCATGGCCGACTCTGTACCTGTGGTTCAGATTTCTGGAAGAACTTTTTTATTGCCCACACAGCTTTGGTTGAACTTGAAGTAAATATTAAAATGGGAATCCCGAGTTATTCGTGGTGCATACGATTCGGTCATATGCATGCGTAATTGAATACGCTTCTGGAAATTTGTGTCAGTTGATGACTAAGGACAAAATGAAAATATAAAAATTTTAATATTAATTTAAACATAGCTAAAATGTTTTTTAATAAATAAAAACTGTTTTGGGTTAAAATAAAGCTTGCACAACTATTTATAATGTTGTTTTATCATTTTCTGTACAGAAATTATAACTTTTCAGAATTTAGAATCACCCCAGGAACCAAGTGGTTATAATTTCCGAACTTTCACTGTACCATAATCTTTGGTTGTCAATCTGCAAGAGTTTCCAACGTTCGTTTTCTGGTTTGATGCTTATTTGATTCTAACAAAAACAATTCTTACTTCCACCTGGAATCGCGCTATCTCACGTTTGCTGTTTATAGCACTCACTGCTTCCTTTTATCTTTTGCGTTTATCTTTCCGTCTGAACTTTTGAAATGCATTCCACCTGCAACACTACCCGCGACGTGCCGTACCTCTGGACAAACGGCAGCGATATGAGCGATATTTCGATTCTAAACTGCTTACAGTACGACCTGCTTCCGGCCATTGCGAAGCCGCGCCCTAGAAACAAGAAGGGGCCGGCCAACCAACCGACCACCCACCCACCCACATCCGTTTCGAATGCAACACACCCACGCAGGCCCACGGCAACACGCCACCCATCCAGCCGCTCAGCTGGTCCCTTGGAATCCGAAACAGATGACACACGTCACACCAGAGCACACACACTCTCACATGCAGAGACAGTCACAGATGACCCCGAACTGGAGGCCCCTGCCTGGTACCCGGCATTCTCCTGCCACCCATCAAAGGCAAAACTCGCATGATTTTCAGTTGGTATAACAAGGCGACACAGTGGGACAGAGAGAGGAAGACTGGCAGAGAGAGCGTTTGCGCAAAATAAATTACAAGAACTTTGCACGTGGAAAGCAAGTAGGGGAAATCCACTAAGAGAGCAATATCCAAAGAGGAGAGCAATGTAAAGAGAGAGAGAGAGGGAGAAAAAGAGCGAGAGCGATATACATATGCATGTGCTCAGGTCCCAAGAATGAGCATTGTGATATAGTTCTAATTGAAATGAAAAATACCTGCGGGAGGGGCGTCAATTAACAGGTTGTGAATGCAAACGGTACACCAAGGGAGTGTGAGCAAGCCGCCGAATCACTCACCAACTGTTTTTTTCATTGCACAAAAAAATCAATAAACAAAACAACAAAACAAAACTCTGCGCTGCCATTGGCAACCAACAATTGCATAAGGCAAAGTGCAGTTGCACTGGCGAAAGGTACAACATATTCATATACATACATATGAACATGTCTATGTGTAGGATAAATTGGGTCAGCGTCGATTTCTCAGACTTTTTTTTAGAAAAATTGCTTATGTACGTCATTGATAAGGTGGCGTGACATTCGGAAAAACTAAAAAATTAAAAGAGAACCAGACGGCGCGGGGGCTGTAGAATCAAAGAGAGATATATTGAGGAAGAGAGTGACTTGTCAGCTGAGCCTCACTGGGAGGAAAGCCACCTACGTCACAACAACACAACTTTGAAACGGAGTGATATGCTAAACTTACCTATGATTTTGGTCTCAGGTCTGGACAGAGGGAACGCTGTCGGTTTGTTTTGGTGGGAGTGGGAGAGCGCACGCACATGGAATGGAGATAAAATATAAATCAGCGATCGGCGATTATATAAAATGACGTTTGGCAATAAGAACACGAACACACGCACACACACAGACGCTGGCGCTCCCGCTCACGCATAAACGAAATGCCGCTGCCAGCATAAAATGTTGCGTTGGCGTTGGATTCTTCAACGCGCTACTCTCCGCTTCTCTTATCCTCAGAATTTGAAGGCGCTATATATATGTATTTATTTTGTGAGTGAATGGGTGACTGCTCTTTTCAAATGCGCTTTAAATTGATCACAAAACTTTCGCAAAAAACTTTCACAAACTGCACAATTACTCACAAACACTAGCGCACTGACGTAGTGTGCATGGACCACGTTACTTACACCAACTCACACGCTCCTAAGAAGCGCTTTTGAACTGCGATTTAAGAATTTCGCTTGTATTTTAGTTAGTTGCCGTTTTAATTGGCGCCCGCATAAGCAAAAATGTTGGCGACGCGTGCACAATAGAGGTGTCAAACCATCGAGGGCACTATCGATAGTATCGATATTTTACTGATGGCCTCTACTATCGACGGTTTTGAAACTCTCATGATAGTATCGAGCTACAGTCGTGCTATAAAATACGAAGACAAATTTGTAAAAAAATAGACAGGTGGCATCTAATTTTTACAATGGACAAGTTCCTAAAAGGTTTCAATGGTTTTTTAATAATTATTTCAGCCCGATACTATCACGATAGTATCGATTGTTTTTTCAAAACATTCGACGTTGATATTCCTCGATATTGATATTCCGTTTAATATTACTAGCTAGCTGGGACTCTTAGCCCTAAACAAATAATTTTATCCGATAGATACATCAATTTTTTAAGAGATTGGCAAGTTTTCAGAAGTCCTTTTTATTGGATTATTTACATATTAAGGTTCAAACAAAAACAGCATAAAACGAATTTGTCGTCGTTTTGTGGCGTTGCCAGACTCGTGCAATTCGTAGTTGCTGCGGGCTGCCATACCGTGATATTTTGTGATATGAAATTCGTCAATTTTGATATTCAGTTTAATTGTCGGGGGCTTATTTCATTGGATTGTTTACATATTAAGGTTCAAACAAAAACGGCCAAAGCATAAAACTTAAATGTTGACTAAATGTTACGTCAGTGTTGTTGGTCAACCAAGTATCTTCTATGCGTATGTACTTTTGTATACCATATTTCTTTTAATTGGTGTTAAATTTATTGTTTCAAGCTGCTTTGAAACATTATTAATTCTTGCTCAATCCGTGCCAAAGTTGCACAACAATGCTGCCTATTCATTTCCCCATGTTGCTAAAATTTTTCCCATACAAATCAAATGTATCTTCAGGAACGCGTAGGAATGACGCAACAATGAATCTACATTCCTTCCCGTTAGGAACATGTGGCGTTCCCATTCCAGCAGGCAGCGCCATCTGCTGGTATTCAGTGAAATAAATGTCACTTCTACATGCTTTTTACATGCAAAACAGCGGCGAAAAGCGGAAGTTCGTTGGTTGCTCGCATTGCACAGCACTATTTTCAGGGCTGAATTTTCTCTTCGCTGGCGCCACCTATTGGGTTTCTTGAGAAACTCACTATTGCAAGCAGTGGAATTATATTTTTACTGCAAGCAGTTCATTCAAATTTTAATTCGAATTTATCACAAAAACCCACGCGAACGAACTAAAATAACAGCTAACTTGCTCACTGAACTGAAATGTACCGCATATTCGCTGAAAATGATTCGTTTTGCTTTTAAAAAACTGTATATATTTTATTTAAAATCATTTTTTTTGCTTTCAATTATTTATATTTTCTGTTTATTTTGGTTGTAAGTACCGTTACGAGGGAGGGCTTTTTTTGTGGTTTTTGTTTTGTTTTGTAATTGTTGTTGCTCGATTTAGTAATAGTAATTTTTGTTTTCTCTCGTTTCATTCGTTTCCATATAAGCGATACTATTTTGGTTCAAGTCCTTGTGGTTTTTTTTTTATGTACATATTTAAACTAAATTAAAGACTATAAATTACTAGTTTGTTTGTTTGTTTTGTGTGGTGTGGGGTGTCGTGAATCTCGCTTTCAATTGTGTTGGTTTGTGTGTGTGTAAGTACAGTGTGTGCTTGTGTGTGTTATAATAAATATGTATCTCTATGTATAAGAAATGCCTTAAGAGCTAAATACATACATACAAAGCTGCTAGGCAGAGTGGTGTGGGGTTGGGTTGGGGTTCAGGGTAGAGGAGCGAAAGAGTGACGGGACTGACAGATAGTAGAAGTAGGAGTAGGAGGATGTGGGGCATAGCAGCTGCTACATATACTGGAACACTGGATCCGTGTCCCAGTTGATCGCGGAAATTAACTAACATGCATACACATATACATACAATATTTTATATATAGATATCTCGATTATACAGATACAGTTAGAGTTAGCTTAGGTTAGAGTTAAAGATACTGGCTAATGGCTACAGGAACTAGTGCTAACTCGTAAAGTTATAGCTGCGCACCGCCCGCCCGGGCGTGACCAGCTCCACCTTGATGTTGGCCGTTGCCGTCACCTTGGTGGTGTTGCTGTCCGAGTGCGTCGTCTCCACCGTCACCTCCGGCTGCACAACGATGCTCTGCAGTTCCGGTGGATACTGCTGCTGTTGCTGTTGTGCGGCCTTGTGGTACGCGGGTGGCGGTGCCCCATACGAGGTGGGGCGTGATCCCCCGCCATGCTGATAGTTGATGTTGTTGAAGTTGTTCGTTGTCTGTGTCGGCGGCGGTGCGGGTGCACTCCAGTCGTTGTGCATCTGGATGGAGGAGTTGCTGGACTTCCAGGACTGCGGCTCCTCCGTAATGGTCGTCAGCGAGGGATCGTTGATGTTGACGTCCTTGTGGTAGTGGTGCGCCTTCTGGCAGTTGTTGCGCGACGACGAACGCGAGCCGTTCCCACTGAACGACTTGTTGGAGCGCTTGCTGCTGCGCATGGGCAGCGGCGAGGGCGTGGATATCCTATCGGGATGCTCCAACGGCACCAGCTCCGCCTCCGGCCCAAGCATGCTCAGCAGAATGGGAAAGACCACCAAATTGTTGCATGCCCCCACACAGAGCACCACAATCAGCAGGAAGCAAAAGTGTCGGATGACGAACTCGAAGGGCGACGTGGAGAGCATGAAAACGGCCACCCCAGAGGTGAGCATCCCATGAACCAGGGGACCCAATGACAGCTGCATGGCCAAATGGACGCGACGCTGACGATTGCCCACCGAAGTCATAAAGCCCTAGGGAAAGATCGAAGGTTAGTCTCTGTTTGCAGCCATTTGGCGGATTGTGGACTCACCAGGGAGATGTGCACATTGAAGCAGAGCATCATGCCCACGCTCAGTATGAGTATGACAGCGGGTATGGCCGACAGTTTGATGCCCAGCAAGGTCATGGCTCCAAAGATCTGTGCCAGCGAGGCCAAGACACTGAGGATCACCAGCACGGCGGCCCAAACGGACAGCAGCAGCAGGGAGACCAGCACCAAGGCAGCCAGCAAAACACACGCCAGGATCATGGCCAGCGAGGAGCGCAATGTCATGTACTGCTCCCAGAAAATGAAGGGAATGCCTGAAGATACAGCAGAGAAAATTGGTTAGTTTCATTAAATATACTTGGTGATGGGTTGTGACCTACCGGAAGGATAGTTGGGCAGACCAAAGCCCTCGAACTTGACGCTCAGATCGCGTATGTGGCCGATCAGGGTCTTTATTTGCGATGTGTCCGTCAGGCCGTGCAGATAGAAGGGCATCTGTGCGTAGACCAGGGGCAGGCTCTTGGGTATCTTCAGGTCGTACTCGTTGGGCGCATGATAATACTGACGCGGTTCTGGATACAGTTTGCCCTGAAAAAACAGCTCAGTGTTAGTTACTGGTTTTGGGAGGGTATAGAAAGATCTAAGAAGGACCTACCTGAGAGGCACCATAGGCGAAGACATCGTTGGTGGCCCAGGCAGAGAGATAGTTGTAGAAGGCCTTCGGATTGATGATTCCATCGCTGAAGACCAGCCGATTCGTCTTGACCAGCTCCTTGTCCACCGGATTGTCCACATGGCCCGTCTGCACAATCAGCTTGTACGCCAGGATGGCATCGCTGCTGGCATTCGGGTACCACACCTCCTTGTTCAGCCGCCCGTCCCGGATCTCATCGTCGAAGATGCGCTGCAGATTGTTCAGCCAGTCACGGAACAGCAGCAGCCAGAAGTCCGGCAGGCCCCCGTTATCGTTCTTGATCACATGCGGCACCCGGACGAAGGCGTCGTGGTAGTCCCGCAGCAGTTGCTGCTGCGTGGGATACTCGAAATTGCCTTGCGTCACCGCATACATGCTGTAGAAGCCGAAGAGGCGCGTCTGCGCGTCCAGGAACTTGTGCTCGTTGCTGTGCTTCGGCACCAGGTCGATGATGTCCAGGCCATCCTGCAGCTTGGTGGAGGCGTACAGACTGAAGATCAACGCCACCAGGAAGCCCATTACGGTCAGGAATTTCACCCAACTGCGCATCAGGAAGGGCGTGTAGTAATCGAAGGCGAAGCTGGACAGGGAGAAGGACGGCAGGGAGGTGCTGTTGCTCTTGCTGCTGCTGCTGTTGCCAGAGATTGCGCCGCTGCCGTGCTGCTCCAGCAATGGATTCTGTACTGGCGGCTGCGGAGGCAGACCCACGCGGCTATTGTTGCAGTTCTTCACGTGACGCGCTCCCCGCAGGCTGTTGTTGTTGTTCATCGGCATCACCTTGGGTTGCTCCTTCCACACGGGAAAGCAGCAGCAGAAGATGTCCGCTCGTCCGGCGGTGCGCCGGCGCAGATCCAGCGAGATCATGGCCGGGAAGACCAGCAGTGCCGCCGCCAGATTGAAGCACATCACGATGGCCGCCTGCAGGCAGAATACCTTTAGCGCCGGCACTGGAATGAAGGCTGCCGCAAAGAAGGAGCCTGCCGTGCTGCATGCGCTAAACAGGATGCTGGGTCCGACTTTCTTGAGGATCAGCTTGGTCTGCTCCTTGCGATTGCTCTCCGCATACGCCGCCGTCAGCATGAAGATGTGGTCCACTCCGAGGCCCAGGGCCAGGAATGGCACCACCTGCGTACTGGCCGCATTAAAGACGATCCCCATCAGGGCACACAGTCCCAGGCCAGCCGCCGTGCTGAAGCACATGAGCAGCACACCAGCGACACCAACGCTGCTCTGGCCCCGGACGGGATCCCGCCAGCGGAGGAGTGTGCAAAAGGCGTAGAGGACGGTGACGGCGACGCCGATGACAATGCTCAGGGCACTCGGATGCGAGAACTTGGCCAGAATGTCGTCCAGGGCGGCCGAGCTGAACACGTAGATGTCATAGTTGGCCGCAATCCGCGACTGCTTGCGCAGGAGGAGCTCCACCTCGCGGGAGAAGTTCCGCTGCCAGGCATTCAGCACTTCGGCGGCCTTCTCCTGGGTCCAGCCGATGTGGTGCACCTTGT